CTCATATGATCTAGAGTCAGATCGTTTTCATGAAAAAACCTCTTCAAGGGGTTTGGGAGCGTTTACGGCCATGATAAATATTAGGGTAACCTGTCAGAGCATGACAGAGGTCTGACATTTCGTGTCATCTCAGGCTTTTCTTTGACAGAATATATCTTGGCGCTGGGAGCTCTAGTGAACTCCAGAATCCGGTTGGCAAGTGTAAACGGTTTATCTACAGCGTGTTGCTGTTGTAACCTATGACCTCTCACATTCTCAGCAACATACCTGTTTCAGAGTTATGTTTCAGCATGACGTTGTTGAAGAGTTGGTTCAACCTTTGTCGGTCAGTTAGATCTCCATGCTCAAGAATATCCTCCTTTAAAGCTCCATAAGGTTCCGAAACATCATTAGTAAACATACTGGGTCCAACGCACCTGTTGAAATCACGTGGTAGTGCCTTTACTACTGATTGTGCAAGTAGATCTGAAACGCCGTGCTTGTAGACGCCAGATTCTGTGTAACAGGATGAAGCTGCGATATTTTCGAGCAAAAATGGCATTAGCGGGAATGAGGGAGGCGAAAGAGTTGTTATCTTAAATGACTTAGAAGTCTGTTCTTCCATGATGAATATAAAGTATAACATACAGCGGGAAAAATATCCGAAGATATGAAAACAATATCGTAATGTGTAAAAAATGACAATGAAGAAATGATATATGATTTTCCAACAAGGAGCAACACGGCGCACCCACTTGTGCTCTGGTGCGTTTGCGTGACCGAGAGCGTTCATCGAGGTGTGTCAAGCAAAGCTAATGCTGTCATCATTAAATGTTGAGGCCCCACAAAGCTGTTTATTTCGGAGATTGATTTACCCACACAGAGGCTTCTTTCTCAGTAACCGTACGATCTACTGACAAGCCGCCATTATGAGAATTAATTATAGGTATTTCTTTAAGGGATCAGTAAGTTAAAGGATCATTCGCCGAGAGTCATATTGATGGGAGCTTTCACTTCATCTAGGGGAGGGAGGCTGGAGGATTCAATTGATGCTGTGGGGATAAGGAGGAATAACCGATGTTTTACTCCTCTATCATTAATGTCATTAACTAAATTGTTCGGTTATTCAGTTTATGAGAGAACTGCAACCAAATTCATATATTTTTAAAACAAGAATGCTCTTCAGCTAGCCGAGCATAGATCGTAAAGGATAAACAATTCGTAGTCCAGCTGCATACAAAAGATGTTCTAAGCCTAACTCGCACTGGCTTTGTATGTTCTGCTGTACCAACAAGACGACATTAATCCCAGAGGCTATGAGCCTATTGGCTCTAGCCTGTAAAAAGAACGATAGTGGGTGCGCTAGTAACGCAAGCACTGACACTGAAGACTGTGTCAGTGTTGTAAGTGCTGTTACAAAACGCGCTGAACAACCTACTCTAATCAATGACAAAGTGAAACTTCCGTTACAACAAACGAGGTGTAAATTACCACATGATATTGACATGAGTAATCATGCACCTTTAGTAGAAATTGAGGACCCGGATAAAACCGTCACCGTCCCCAATAGTCCCGATGCAGCTGTCCTGAATGACGAAAAATGAACCGCATTAAAGAGGAAAAGAAAAGAAAAAAAGCTAATGATAAAGAACACTTGGTTGACAAGCCATTGAGGAACTCACAGTCTGACTCACTCATTGCACTATCGCACTCTGATAGAACGGCAGATCATCATCCTAGTGCGACTGAGAGGAATTTAATATCATCGAATATTGTTAGTAAATTGCCAGAGTCTAACGATCCAGATCCTAAGGTTAGACACACCCATGATTTAAAGAGGCTCGGAGAATATATCCGTAGCATATTACCGGCTAACACGAAATGTGTTCAGATCAAAAAATTAGTTAGAATAGGTAAAAGAGCCGATTATAGTGTTCTACCCCGACCGTGTAGACTCCTTAAGGTAATCTTAGGGTCGGAGAAACAACGTAATCTTCTGTTAAGTAACGCTCGAAGTCACGACAACTCTGACATTCGAATGCGACCGGATGTGTCTCTTGAGGATAGAATAAAAAGGAAGATGGCACTAGCTGAACAAGAAACCCGTCGACAAAACGGTGAAGAAAATCTCTGATTGGTGGGTTTTCGAATAGTCAGGTCTTGGAAGCGAATGCTACCAAGGCCTGTGTGAATAGGTCGTTCCCCCTTGGAGTTTTATATGCCAACTCTCGTAGTCTAAAACATAAATTCTACGAGCTAGGAGCATTAGTGGACAAATTAAGGCCACTCATTGTAGTTGTGACGGAAACTTGTTTAGTCCATGACTTCGATTTCACCCCAGAATTATCCGGATATCATTGTTTAAGAAGTGATAGACATAGATGCAGGAAAGGAGGTGGCGTCCTTCTATACATAGCCAATAGTATAAATATCCGCTCCTCCGTTTGCGAATCCCATGATAGTGGAACTAGTGGAGTCATTAGCTGTGAGCTCACTGTCGGATGTTGTACATTTGCACTCGGTGTCATCTATCACAGCCCAATCTGCTTAGCTGATGACTTCATTTTAGAGCACATTCGGCTATAGAGTGCAAATAACAGATGCTTGATATTAGGAGACTTTAATGCACCTGATATTAGTTGGACTGAGATGACCACGAAATGCTCTATAAACTCATTTGATAGCAGACTCTTGGAAACAGTAATGGAACATGCATTAGTACAACATGTATCCAAACCTACACGTTTTGGTGTAAACCAAGGTTCTTCTCTGTTGGACTTGGTAATTTCCCATGAGACTGAGGATATTGCCAACCTAAATATTCTTCCCCCGTTAGTAAATAGCGATCACGCTGTTTTATCATTCACGTTTAGAGCTAGCGATATGATATACGATCAGGTTAAGCCTCGCCCAAACATATGGAGAGCTAACATACCAGAAATTCAGGATTGTGCTACTAAGATAGATTGGCCAGTAGATACTAGCTCATCAGTTGACGAGGCGTGGTCTGTATTTAGAGGCAAGTTTAGTTCAGTCACGTCCCCGTTCATACCATACTTGGTGCCACGTAGACCGAACAACAGTCCACCGTGGATAAATAAAGAAGTTAAGAAACTTCTTAGGCGTAGAAAAAAACACTGGAACATGTTCATCTCTACTGGCTTAGAACAGTACAGATCTAGTTATCGTAAGATTAGAAATAATTGTAAAGCGTTGATTAGTAGGACTAGACGGTCATACGAAAAACAATTGGTTAGGGATTGCAAACATAGTCCAAAACGGTTGTTCTCGTATATAAAGAGGCGAACTCAGAGAAGTGATGGAATGCCATCACTTTTGATACAAGAAAATCCGTTAAGTTTGGCAAGAAATGATACCGAAAAAGCGGAACCTTTTTGGAATATTTCAGTAAAGCTTTTTCTACCAATAATGAGGAGCGGTCACCTATTCATTGTGATTGTGGCGACTTGTTGATGGACCCTGTAGTTGCTAAGAAAGAAACTGTCTTAAGCCTACTCCAGCATCTCAAACCTGATAAGTCTAGTGGTCCTGATGATATTCATCCTCGGATTATGAAAGCCTTCTCAGATGTTATTGCTGAACCCTTAGCGATACTGTTTGATATGTCCCTACGGCAGCCCAGATTGCCCAGAGACTGGAAAGACGCAATAATCAGTCCGGTGTATAAGGCTGGGAGTAGGGATTTAGTTAGTAACTATCGACCCGTCAGCTTAACTAGTGCAGTTGTAAAACTAATGGAAAAAATCATTAGGATGGCTGTTATAAACTACGTGGAAAGACATGATCTTTTGTCAAAGGAACAACATGGTTTTCGAAAAGGTCTATCATGTTTGACAAATCTTCTCATTGCAAGAGAAGATTGGGCTGAGGCGAAAGATCGCAATATTCCTGTAGATGTCATTTTCATAGATCTAAGTAAAGCCTTTGATAAGGTTTCCCATTCTGGTCTTAAATTAAAACTAGAAAGTTTTGGAATTCATTATGCAGTCACAGACTGGATAAGTGACTTTCTTCATGAAGGGAGACAAAGGGTAAGATTAAATGGGGCTCTCTCATCGTGGGAACCAGTAAAAAGTGGCGTCCTCCAAGGCACGATTTTAGGTCCTCTTCTCTTTTCACTTTATATAAATGAATTACCAGCTATAGCTAAGTCACCCGTCCTACTATTCGCCGATGACATTAAGATTTGGAGACCCATATATAGTATGTCAGACAGAATAGTTTTACAGGAAGATTTTAACTCATTAGTGGCATGGATGAATGGGTGGTCACTAGAAGTAAACCCTAATAAAAGTGTTGTGATGCAATTAAATAACTACGATGATTCGTATCACTACACAATATGTGGACTAGTGTTGCCCAAAGTAAGAAACTATAAAGATTTAGGAGTCATACTAAGTAATGATCTCAAAACAACGAGTCACTGTAAGGCTGCTGCTGTAAAAGGCTATAGGGCATTATGGCCTATTCGTAGATCTTTCCGGTATCTGGATGGGGAAATGTTTAGATTATTATACCCAACTTTCGTACGGCCACATTTGGAATATGGGATTCAAGCAGCGAGTCCTTGTTTCAAATATGAGGCGGATATGTTGGAACGAGTCCAACGCCGCGGGACAAAAATGGCAAAAGGCCTATCTAGCCTATCTTATGAAGACAGACTGAGACACCTCAACTTATTTCCGTTATCTTACCGGCGAATACGGGGTGATCTAATATTGACAAATCGTATCCTGAACGATGACCTTGGTACTAACATGTCCTATCTTTTCCTCCCGTCTAGGGCTGATCATTTGAGAGGACATTCAAAGAAAGTCCAAAAACCGAGATCAAATTGTCTACGTCTGGAGTTTCGTTTCTCGCACCGAGTAGTGAATTACTGGAATTCTCTACCAGAACACGTAATATCAGCACCTTCTGTAGATATATTCAAGACGAGATTGGACCTCCACAGTGTAACAAACTGCAAGGATTAAAATAGGTCACTAGACCTCCTATCCTTATTACTGAAGACTGAAGACTGTAAAGCAATTTTGGATCTTTGGTTGTGAAGACTTGTTGGAGGGCGGACGACTTCAAAGGTTGCGGTACCTTCTCGCGTGAACGCAAGGTATCCAAGGTTGATGAGGTAGTTCTGTGTACTCCTTGTTCTTCTGTCCACAATTGTTCATGTTTATTTATCCATAAATACGTTAATTCGGGAAATCATTTGTCACTTTCAAAGTATGATAACCTTGTTTATTGAACGTTAACTAAAATAACTCATAATGTCATTGAATGAGAAAAAGAGGATTCAGCGAAGCAAATTTTCTTTTCGACAAAACCATTTACTTAAGCTGTACATTCGTATATATAGTTATATGGAAAATATATGTCTATAGGAGGCTAGGAAAGATTACATTATAAATAGAAATATATTTCCCATATAACTATATATACGAATGTACAGCTTAAGTAAATGATTTCGTCGGAAAGAAAATCTTCTTCGCTGAATTCTTTTTTTCTTATTGAACGTTAATTGATTGATGATTAACCAGTTAACGTCCAAGTGACCACTTGCTCTTGGTGAAGCACGAGATAACTTATTTAAGAACGGAATCAGTTAGTTTTAATGAAGAAATGTAGGAAACTTTCCATCAGTTGTGCGTTATTAGGTCTATTAAATCACGCGATTTTGTAGTGTAAACAACTGATGAAGTTGGAGGCTTTTCAGTATAACATATGTCTTTTTCTCTCTATCTTTGTCAAAGGAACGGGATATTTGAAAAAAACTAGAGGGGAAAACTCAGGGTCAATGGTGATGCTGAAGAATTTGACCTGATTAAAAGGGTTGTTTAAGTGGTTACTTTTCTTTTCGGAATATTTCCCAGTATCTGTTTCACTGTCATCCTTTTTATTCTGGTTTTACACAGTTACAAAGCTACTAGACTAGGCATCCTCAGTTAAGAAAAAACTCATGGCAATGTTCACACCGATTCCCCACCTCAATTTGTTTTGATGTGTATGGTGATACTAAACCATATGGTTTAGTGGCGAGACTATAATTTATGGACGACCTTGAACGAGTCTTAAGTGGACTTGAAAAATATTGGCGAGACTAAACTATACTGCCGACCTTTGAACGAATCTTAAATGACCTTGAGAAATATTAGACAATCAGAAGACAGTATACAGTAAAAATATATGCAAAACTCAAAAATTAAAGGGGATACTGTTCTTTTATATGACTGAAAAACTTCTCAAGGTCAGATATAGGTTCAGAAGTTCTAAAATCATAGTGCATCCGGTACAGGAACACGTCCATATGGCTCCATGGTAGTCGTCCTCTGGAACCATGATATTTATTTATTATTATTTATTTAAACACATAAATATTGGTACAAAAAAGCACCAGATAAATATGCGCCACACAAATCTCATTTGATTTGTGTGAGGGCTGAGATACTGCCCAGGTGCCCGAACCGAAGCAGGTGGTTTTCTTAGGGGGCCACACCCCGAGCCTTTGACCTAAAGGTCTGATCCACAAGGCAGTGGAGCATCATGAGGAGATGCAGTCCCATGGTAGCCGGTGACCAACAATAGGTTCATACGCCATTTGTTCCTTCAGGATACTGGAGTCCATGTGCACCATTGGTTTGGAATCAGGGTTTTCCAACTCACCTAGGTGGACTTTCTGTGTCCACCAACACGGTTAAAGCGCCGGACATTCGCTTTTCGTTCTCTTGATTTCGTAAACAACAGTAATGCCACGAGAAGACAGTAAGTAGGACTTCCTTGGCAGAGGCTATATATTCGCGTGGCCATAAGCATTTCGAGAGGGAGAGCAGACTCTCCCTACTCTCGGCCGTACCAGGGCATTCGGGGACCAATGATAAGGTCTCAAAAATTCTTTTAGCCTCGAACACATAGCTTCAATGTTGTTGGTATGGTTTACGGTTTAGGGTTAGAGTTAAGGTTTAGGGTTAGGGTTAAGGGCTAAGGGTGAGACTATAATTTATGGACGACCTTTGAGCGACGCTAGAGTGACTCTGAGAGTGTCGAATAATAACTAAGACCAAATGAGGGTTATAAACCTGTAAGAAGAATTCAAATTATTATTTACAGTTCATGATTAAGGCTAGGAATTATACTTGAGGTTTTCATCACGAACTGACATCAGCTATAATGCCAAAACTCTATTTATCCAAATGGATAATTGAATTTCGCGCCAAAATCTTTTAATCACTTCTCTTGTAGACGCTAAATTATCACGTCTTCCCTAAAATCCGCTGTAAACCAATCGTACGCAAGCATCAAGTACCGAACTTAGCGCCGTGACCTTAAAAACCCGCGAAAGCTGATTGGCTCGGCAGTATACTTTAGTCTCGCCGCTTTTACATGGTCCAAAAACTTGTCAAGGTTAGAAAGAGGTTCAAGGGTCCTAAAATCGTAATGCATAAAATAGCAGAACTCATCCACATGGCTCTACAACAGTCAGTCTCTGGAGCCATGATAATGTCGCAAAAACTCTCAGCCTCGACTACATAGCCTCAATATTGTTTTAGTGTACTCTGGTTGTGTAAGCTTGTCATTTTTATTATGCATATATTTCTACAATATTCATACCACTGGACAGCCGAAGCTTCAGTAACATCTGTGAATATTGCAGCCAATTTTACTGGTGCTTTTATTATACAGTTCGCAGAAATCATTATAAGTTGCCTTGGTCTCAATCTGGGTCGAGCGAAGAAAGTTCCTATTCTAGCAGACTTCTTCCTCCAACATATATTAGATCGAAGGACAACATCACGGTAGTCTGCACAAGGTCTACAAGTCATTTGATTACGGAAATTACAGAAGAAGGAACTTCTTAGAGGTCCCATTTATTGTAGCCGCTTAGTTGCCATTTCCCTAAAATTCTCTGTGAACCGACCATACTGAAATCGGCACCATGACCTTGAAACCCCTCAAAAACTTCTGACTGCCTCGTCCATAAATTATAGTCTCGCTGGTTTAGTTTAAAGCATTTTACTTGAGTGTTCAGTCATTTAAACAGTGCAGCTACGTCAATGGATGCATCCGCATACTAACCAGTCCCTAAGCAATTTTATGCACTATCTGGTACTTCAACATCTTATGATTCGTGTGTCACATTGGCTTTAAATCAAAATTTTACTAATAATTGCACCTTTTGTGTCCACTTACCTGGCCTACGCAATATTAATTTTGCAACCGAACACTTCTGCAGGCAGTAATCGGTTCATGGCTTTACGGAGAGTTTTACAAAAGCAAGGTCTTTTCTATTTAGGAATAAAAAGTTATTTGTAGGAGTTGTAAATATTAAGAATGATTAAACTCATTGGCCAAGTATGTGTTTATAAAATTTAACCTCAGCCACTCTGTTTGAAGTAATGATGATATAATCAAGCTGCTTAAAAAGCAGTAGGCTGAGTAAGGTTCCAACTTACGTATATAGTTAAATGTCTGTCACTTCCACTATCATATCACTGTTTTGGAGATATGTACAGCATTAAATAGGATTCTTAAGTAGCTGAAAATGATCTAAACTGTAGGTGATATATATTATACCTCAGCGGCATCTAATATAATTTCATCTGATTTTACCTATCCGAAACTTTAATGTTGAGTGTAGTTCATAAAGTTTGTATTCTGAATGTCGTAATATATTAATGCTTTATTATTGGTAAACATTGCACACAAAAGCATTGCAAATGAAAAATTTTCAGTGTTTTAAATAACCGTTTCTTCCCATAAATTTGAATTAGCTATACTAGCATCCAGTTACCATTTCCTGGAGTGGAAAATGCTCTCAACCACTTGATGCCTATCGATTCTACTGTTAACACCGTCGAAACTAGTGACCAGTCAAAGGAATCTTCGTTTATACAACTAACAGATAGTGATGGCAACGAAGTTGGGACGCCAATATGGATTCCCTTAGATGTTGACAGAAGCAAACTCACAGATTTATTAAGTAATCTTCTTCAAAGAGTGAGAAAACTATTCTTACTACCTTCACTATTATTTGTTAACTAAAGCTTGTTTATACTCACAGACACTTCAGCCCAGTCCGAAAAATTCATGTCAGTTTATCAAAATTGAAATAGTAAACAACATCAACAGAGGGATTTAATTACCTACTAGTTGATTTCTATACCGTTGCGAGTATTTCATATCCAAATCAAAACAATTAGTTTTGTTATATCCTGTGAACGCCAGTTGTCATAACTTGTCGCCCGCCCAGCAAATTTGTACCAGATAAAGCATTCTCGTGGCGGGGGTGTTGTTTACGAAATTGAGAGGACGAAAAGCGAATGTCCGGCGCTTTAACCGTGTTGGTGGACACAGAAAGTCCACCTAGGTGAGTTGGAAAACCCTGATTCCAAACCAATGGTGCACATGGACTCCAGTATCCTGAAGGAACAAATGGCGTATGAATCAATCGTTGGTCATCGGCTACCATGGGACTGCATCTCCTCATGATGCTCCACTGCCTTGTGGATCAGACCTTTAGGTCAAAGGCTCGGGGTGTGGCCCCCTAAGAAAACCACCTGCTTCAGTTTGAACACCCGGGCAGTATCACAGCCCTCACACAAACAAAATGAGATTTGTGTGGCGCATATTTATCTGGTGCTTTTTTGTACCAATATTTATGTGTTTAAAAAAGGCAATTAGACTGATTTTAAGTTTTGCACAGTATTGGATTCGCTTAATTTGTCACACATACATCGAAGATAAAATTAAAGGAAAGTTCGAAGGATAATTTAAGGTGATAACAAAATTTTCATGATCTATAAAAAAAGGAATAGATCTGCGAAGTAATCGGTTTTGAGTCGTTTTTCATAAGTCTTATGCTGTGAACGAGGAAGACTACTCCAACTAACTTGGATCAAAGTGTGTTAACTATGAAGTTGATTGGATTATCTCGTTGATATTTTGAGTGAAATTCGACCAGTCTTGATTGGCATATGTGCATGTTTCGCGAATGGCCTCGATATATGCATCATGATACAAGTTAGTGTAGGATATATGGAATGTGGCTAGCAGTGAAATATAGGATGTGTGTTTCGTCCTATTCGGCACATCCAAATAACGATTGTCATAATGTTTAAGAACTCTCGTCTAAATTAGAGCGAATAGTTTCACAGTATTTGAGCGACGAGTTGATGTAAGACATTAAATAGGAATAATATATTTGTAAAATCTCAGCGAATGAATTTGTAGTAAATCCAAATGGTTATATTACGGTAATCCACACATGATCCATATATGTCGATCAAGACTGAATGAATTTCAGTAAAGTCATCAATAACAGGATAACCCAATCCATTTAAAACTCATACCCGTTACACGAGTGACTGACTATCTGGACTCAGTAGCTAAGTGGATAACGTGATGTTTGAGGCGAACGGTACTAGATTCGAGTCCCGGAGTAATCATCGACCATGGGATGCATGTAAATCCGACCGATAAGTCCCAAATAGTATAAAACATACATTCTGGATTCCACTGCTAGCCACATTTCATTTGTTTTGTAATTTTTTACTAACTATGGATTTGTGCTTCTTTTATTCCATTCTTGTTGTAGCCAATATTGCAACCTATTTTTACTGTCGATCCAAATTCTTAGTACTTGTTGCAGGCATCACTGTTAGTATAAATCTTCAGAAGATCTTGCTCAGAAGTCAGTGCTGAATTTCCAAATCGCCTCGTTAGGGTTTCCATTGCATACTATATTTCCAAGCATAGCAAAATTATACAATAGAGAAACTTGTTATCCAGTTTGGGCTCCATGGAGCTCTGTGGGACTTAATACCGTGTGACTATTGGTTTGTTACATAGGCTTCCGAACTTCTGCAGACAGCTGAATTCGAGTCCCTAATGGAAGGAATAAAGTTGAATTGTCCAAACTAATTCCAAAAATACTTAAAATAGGGTCATGATAATTGTGTCATCTACCTTGACCTGTTGTGTCTCACAGGGCACTGTCTCCTGTCTAGTAGACCGTATGGAGTGAAGTAACTTTGTTATATGCATTAAATTAAAAAGTAGAGATATAACAGGTTCATTCACTATTTGTCTTCCTTTAGCCTCTAAATTTTGAAATTGTCTTACAGATTTTTTTATTCCACGAATTTTTCTTTTTGAGTCGTATCTAGTCTCTCTTGTTACAATTAGTACTGTTACTGTCTCTATTGATCTGAAATTTGTCCTGGCCATTTCATCTCTCTGTGCTCTGGCAATTTGAGACGATGCAAACAAGTACTATATTCTACGTTGCGTATGTCCGACTGTTTAAGTAAAAGTGAATAAGATTTAAATAAAAACTAAAGTTTGAATGCAGAATGTTAGATGACCAACTATCGTCATAAATAGAGAGCAATAATCTTATGTCGCTTAATGTGATAGCGTGAAAACATTTCAAAATAAACCATTAGCGTTTTCGACTAGGTTTTCAGTAGTTTGGCGTCGTATAATAGGATGTTTAAGCCTTTTAGTTATTTACAAGATTTCATGGAAGGTTAATCAACTGATGGTGTTTGAAATAAATATTGATTGGGATAAGCCTGGTTTTGACATGGAACCGTATTAAATACAAGCTAGAAATACAGTTTATAACCCTCTCATTGCCATCAGTGATCACTTTCACTTTTGAAATTGCAAGGACCCTACATTCTCGAAGACTATTTCTTGAGATAAAAGTAACTGTTTAATCTCACCTGTTGCTTAATAATATTTCATCAGTATGCTTGTATATTTAACTATGCCTAAGTCTTGTTACCTAAAAAAGAAAATTTTCTAATTCAAAGGAAGATGCACATTCTTTGACGTATGACTTTTTTGTGGGCGATGTTCAAATCTTGGATGATTTAAAAACAGCTTTAATTCAAGCACGATCCAAAGGCACTGATCCTTCGTTACCGAAATTTGGATCAACTGGTCTTGAAGCTGTAGTCAAAGTCACATATCAAGCTCAAGCTGTTTTTCGAGTTCGCCCAGTTACTCGTTGTTCAAGTAGTATACCAGGTCATAAGGGTGCAGTTCTGGTTGCGCAATTTTCACCAGACGGAAGGTAATTACAAATTTTGTCAATATTTTTGACGTTTTTAGTGATCTATTTCTGGCTTGTCCTAAGACAAACCTTTCTGTCTATAATCTCTGTAGTTAACTTTGCACTCGATGTCTTAATTTGTAATATATAGGTGAGATATTCCTTTTATATGTCTAACTGTTAATGTGGTGTGGTCTACTTATATCCATATAAGTAGTATATGGCGATGGTCAGACATAGAATGTATTTCGGCAGAAGACCGATGAGGGAAGAACTGAAATGAAGTGCAATTGGTAGGAAAATGCATAAACAATGGAACTAGAGAAGATGAACTGATATTTACAGAAGAAACAGTGAAGATTGAGACAATTGGTTGTTAATTTGCAAATTAACTGTTCATTGTATGGTTATCAGAAATTAGTGAGATAGTCTGTAATTTTTGCTTAAATACATCCGGTTGTCCCAACCAGTGTTCTGTTCACTACATTAAGAAGTAAGATAGGAAACTTGGTACGTCTGAAAGATTAGAGTGGTAACTCCCAGAGCCAATATACGGATTATTATTATGAATACTATTGTTGTACAACTAATGAGCGACCAGATTACTTTATCTATGTATTCCGTTTGCCATAAGGTTTCAGCTAACTCATTAAATTGTCACTATCCCCAGTTTGTTGTCCGGAAGTGTCTTGGTACGGCCGAGGGTGGTGAGAGCCCTCTCTCTCAAAATGATCTCATATGGACGCTGACATGGTAATCCTACTCACCACTTTCTTGCGACGTTGTTCACGAAAATGGGAGGACGAAAAGCGAATGTCCGACACTTAAACCGAGTTAGTGGATACGGAGAATCCACGTAAGAGAGTTGGGAAACCCTGATTCCAAACCAATGGTGAACAAGGGCTCCAGGATCCTGAGGGAACAAATGGCGTATAAACCTATCGTTGGTCACCTGCTACCATGGGATTACATCTCCACTATCTTGTGAATTAGAACTTTAGGTCAAAGCCTTGGGGATTGGCTCTCTAAGAAAACCACCTACTTCGGTTTGGGCGCTTGGGCAGTATTCAAGCCCTCACACAAATCAACGATAATTACTACTGGAGAGATTACTCTTGCTTCAACGCTCATTCAGACAAATTACATTCACAATTATTTGATATCATTCGTTGTTATTTTTTTCGTACTATGTCGCCTATGTACTCCCCTTTATTCTCACTTTGCGTATTTTATTTTTCAACTTATACGCTAGTTCGTCTATGGTGGGAACCTTGTCCTATTTCAGTGGTCTCAAGTCACTGACCAGTCAGAAGTTAAATGCCACCACAGACTACGAATACTGAACCAGTATTTCTGAAACCACGCATGCCATTCAAACTGTCCTCCTTCAATGTCCGCACACTAATGCAGATCGAACAACGGAAAGGGTTGGCTATGTCTTAAAAAAGTTTTAATATTGATGTCTGTTGTCTATTTGAGACTCATGTCCAAGACTCTAGTGATGTACTACAAATTCGCTCTCCGTCTGTAGCTTCTGAAATCTTGTTTCACATATGGTTGCCTGGGGACCCTGTGACATCTCCCTCAGGTTTTGCTCGAGTTGTCGCATTGAACACTAGAACTGAGGCAGCACTGGTCGATTGGATCTCCATTAATAGTCGATTATGTGCTGTTGGATTAAAAAGGGCCATCAAAGTGAGAAGAAATCGGTGTGAGAAACAATGTCTTTTCTCCACCTTCGCCTACGTTCCGACAGATTTCAGCCTGGATACGATCAAGGATGAATTTTACCACCAGTTAACTGTTCTTCTACAGAAAGTATGTTCGACAGATATTGTTGTACTAGCCGGAGACTTGAATGCTCAGATCGGGCGTCTAGGCACAGAAGAGAGTCGTTTGGGTGGTCGCGAGTCAGATAACGGGGAACATCTACTGCAACTGTGTGTAGACTACAACCTGTTTCTAACTAGCACTAACTACCGGAATAGTTGTCGCTGATGTGTCGCCTGACGTCCTCTCTCTGTATTTCAATCCTGGGCTCAGATTGACCACATCGCTATCAGCTGCTGCTGGCGTGGCTATGTACAAGACCGTCTCTGATCATGCTCTTGTTTGCGCTAATCTTACCTTACGTTTCAGTGACCAACAGACTCATCATCCTAAAGGGGTCAATGTCAGAAAATTGTTTTCAGCTTCTGTTGCAACTAAATATCAAACTGAGCTAGATTCAAGGTTCTCTGCCAGCCCACCGAAAAGTATGGATGAGCACTGGTTGTAAGTGCATGACGCCATGAAAATGGCGAGTAAAGTCGCTTGCGGCCTCGTGAAACGTCTCTCCTATAAGCATTGAGTTTCTTCAGGTTCCATACAACTTGTTGGAGCACTTCGCTCTACTCCAGGTAACCACAAGTTTGACCACAAATGAAGACTGCTGCGCAACGAGATTGGACAAAGCTTGCGTAAGGACCGAGAAGGCTGGTGATCGGGGTGTGCCGATGAGTTGGAAGCAGCAGCAACATCTGGTGACTACCGTAAGCTGTTTCAGCTCATCCGAATCACTGACAGCAAGAAGTCTGGTGTCAGCGAAACAATCTGTGAGAATGACGGGATGCCGGTCACTAACATCTACCGATGTCTTGGACGATGGGCAGAGTTCTTTGAAGGGCAGTTCAACTGGTTTGCTACCCCGAAGAAATGGATCAGATTGTCCTGCACTCTATGGCCCGTGACAACTGATCCAGATAACGAGACGAAAGTCCGCAGGGAACTCCAACTCTTGAGGCGCCACAAATCATCGGACCCAGATGATTTATCTCCGGCCCTTTTGAAAGTTGGTGGCGACTTTCTGGTTATGGAACTGACTGAGTTATTTACGAAGGTCTGGCAATTATAGAGTGTTCCAACATCATATTATGGTTGATAGTTGCCCTTTTCTTTAAAAAGGGTTCACGTTGTTTCTGTAACAACTATCGTGGGATAAGTCTACTTCGGATTGCGTCCAGACTATCAGCTTACGCCACACTTCCTAGATTGTTCAAAACCAAAGAAAGATGGACTCGCGAGCAGCAGGCTGGTTTTCGTTCTGGTCAAGGATGTATTGATCATATCTCTACCCCCCGCCATATGTTGGAACGCCGTCATACTTATCACAGGCCAACGATCGTAGTGTTTCTTGAGATTAGGGCTGCCTTCGATTCGTTGGACAGGATTGTTCTCTGGGAATTTTTATCGAAGGGAGTATCTGAAAAGTTTATTAACATCTTGAAGGCCCAATATACGAACACCTTATATATAGTGAGAGCATACAACCACCTCTCTCCATTGTTCCATTCAAACAGTGGGATTAAACAGGGTTGCCCAATCTCACCACTTCTCTTCAAATTTACCATCAATGACGTTCTGGAAAGAGCTCTGATAGATATAGGTAATGGCGGTGTGGATCGGTTGTCTGGAGAAAGACTTTTTGACCTTGAGTATGCTGATGATATTGTCTTGCTGTGCGGTGATACCCAAGTCATGCAATCCGCACTTAATCAGTTGACAATGTATCCGTTGTAGGATTTAATTTGTCCTACAGGTATTCTACTGGAACTGTAAACTCCATACTGGCGACCCAGAATCTATGCGAAACCTATAGTCAGAACAAAGACAATTTGACTTTAAACTTTGTCTGTTCCTAAACGTAAAAACAATTCGATAAGTACAATAATTAAAGGAATTATGGTCATTTGGTGAAAATCACAAACATACCGACCGGTATTGCGTGTCTTATCGAAATGAATAAAAATTATGAGTCACTAATATAATAGGATAATAATGTCGTTCAATTGGCAGGTCACATGCAACAGGGATAGTTTAGTGACACATCAGACCAGATTGACGTGGTTGACGTCTAAGCAACGATTCGATTGGATAGTTATGGACATATATATCTGGTGCCCCCCTGTACCAATGTTTGTGTTAAATAAATAAATATGGACATAACTAACATCCGTGGGTATGGTATAGGCTCCAAACCTCCCAAGTGCAAAGTACTTTTACAAGACTAGCAGGACCCTGAACCTACACTCACTCTGGATAGTAAGTAGATAGAAGTAGTCAAGAAGTTCGTGTGTCGGGATAACTGCGTAAGTGCTGGTGGTGGCGTGAGAGATGAGATCGATGCATGTATAATGAAAGCCAGAGCGGCTTATGCCATTCTGGGCCATCTTTGGCGCCTTCGTGATGTTAGTCTGACTGTAAAAGGTCGGATCTACAGAGCGTCGCTGAGAGAAGTTTTGCAATTGCTTATGAGATCTAGCCTCTCCGAGTTGAGGATGTTAGACCACTCTCTATGTTTGATCATCGTTGTCTCCGAATGATTGCTGATATCCAGTAGCAACATCACGTTGGTAATGTAGGGATTCGGCATTGTGTTTTCGGGCACGGCGACGATAATTCAATTGATGTCATCATTTTGAAACATCGACTTCGGTGGCTTGGACATATCTTACGAATGTCGTCCCGTAGAATTCCATGTCGTGCATCACTTTCCGACTATGGGACTTGTTGGAAAAAGCGGAGAGGTGGTCTGTGTACTTTGTGGTGTTGTGGTATGAAATAAAGCTGTATAGGACTGACTTCTGTTTGTCCTTCATGACTCCCTGGTTGTTGTCCAAGAGGTGGTGCAACACAGTGACTAGAGGCGTTATCAGACATGTCTCAGAATATAAGTCAGTGGCGATCCTACTGTATTTTTTTAAAATTTCATAAAAGTGAACGTAATTTCTTTAACTAAAAGAATTCTTTCTGGTTGTATCTTTGCTAACTGAACTTTTTCTGGATTATTATTATTATTAATGTTAATATTATTTCACTCACACACTAATTTTCTTTCGTCGTTGTTCATTTTTCTTATACTATTATTATTATTATTGTTATTATTACTATTATTATTATTATTAGCTTTATTCAATATTATATAATTCGGTACAAAATCGAATTCTCAGCTTAAAGTATTTCAACAAGCGTCCGTTTCTTATTTCTTGGTTGCTCCTGACGATAAATATTTAGCGATCGCCAGTTAGATGTCAGCAGTTCAATCAATCGACATATGGATAATGTATATTCTTTTCACTGCATGTTCCCAGCAAACACGACATCTCTGATTAGGCCTTTTGTAACCTTTACAGCGAAAGGTTGTACAGTTTTCAGAAACGCACCTGAATAGGTTGTGTAATTAATAACCATAATGGTGTATTAAAACAAATAATATTAGATAAGTTGTTGAAATATATAGATGACAGGAACAGGTAGCCCAGATGTTTAAGCAGGCCGCCCATTCTGAGCCATACGTACATTACATTCTCTACCTCTTCAGAACTTCATTGTTATTGTGTGGCGCATATTTATTTGGTACCCCTCTTTACCAATGTTTATGTGTTTAAATAATTATTGACATGGATCCCTTCCTTTTGTATACTATTTTTTGTTCCTTAAACAAAGCATAGGATAGAGAGATTGATTTTATTAAAAGGCAATTTTCGAAACTGCCAAGTAGTTTGGAGAAAATTTCGGACTACAAACACTAAGTTTAGTATTTAGCTATCACTATGTACTGACTATCATAATGTGAAGGTAGCTTAATAGGTGAAGCAATTTATCTTACTTTAAGTTCCGTCTCACTTCCATGTAAAACTGGTTGGAGAACTAGGTATTATAAATAACACTTACTCGAAGGCGAAACTGAGAATTAAATACATCGGTCTGTAATTGTTTAATAAGTTACACTTACTAGTTGTTACTGGAAGGCACGGTTATTGTGTTAGTTTCTTTGTTAGAAAGCCATTACACGTGCCTTTGGCTATGTGTTTAACTGTTCTTACTTTTACTTTTAGATTTGAGACAAAGCATCCGTACTGAGACTTGTTTCCGCCCTTCATTTAGGTCTTATATTTAATAACTATGTAAGATAATCCTTAGGGACTGTTATTCTTGCTGATTGGAATATTTTCTCGTGTATATCCTTATTGATAATTCATGACACTGTTAGAAGTATACGAATGTACGCCTCATTTTAATCTCATTTCAGAAGTTTAGCTAGTGGCTCTGGAGATCAAACAGTTCGTTTCTGGGATCTCAACACCGAATTACCTCTTAGTACAGGATCGGAAGTGCACAAAGCTCCTGTTCTCTGTTTGGCTTGGTCTCCAGATGCAGTAAGGTTGGCATCTGGTTGTCAAGGTGGTATGATTTGCTTGTGGCAACAAACAGAAGCCGGCAATGATTGGAGTTTATGCTCAACCAATCCTTTGATTAAACCTCAATTAGCAGCCACTCCAGCTCGTTCTAAAGGACGGTGGATACGATCTTTATCGTGGAGACCATTGCATCTGTAAGTCACTACTTGTTTCGTGTTATTTAAGTCTTTTTGTTACACTGATTAAACACATGATAAGCTCTGATCACAGGTCAAGTACGCCGCACAGCTCCTCAATTTATATTATTTTGTGACTGTAAAAAATGTTTATTAGGGTATAAGGCCGGTAATGGTTGCTTCTGCTATGTTGGCGGGATTAAGATGCCACTTAGGATCGGCGAAAGGAGCGCAAGTCAACAACGCAACGAACGCGGATAAATACTACATGTGGTACGAGGTTTCTGTATTGTTTGGTCAATGCGTGGGCTGCCCATTTCATCCGAAATTTCCGAGAGATAATGGTAACGTCTTATGTTGTATTTATCTGTAGTCTAAATGAATGCCCATTAGTATTAAGAGCAATGAATTTTCTCTCCTTTGGGGTTGTGCTCTAACAGGATGCTAATAAGCTCAACGAATTTGTGCAGGATTTGGAAGCAGGCTTTCTAATACTTTTGGACCGTTGTGGTAGTCGATTTGGTTTCCACCTTTGACAGAAGCCATCTTTGTTACCAATGGATTTACATTTCATTCAACGATGTTTGAACGGACAGGTTCGTACATAATGTCATGCACCACAGTGCCATCAGGGAATCAAAGGACTAGTCTTCGTTTGTTGAACTGAGGTCGAGTAAGATGAGCTAGGTATAGTAGGCTCATATTTGACAGATTTGGATAGTTTTGGGACTACATGAACTTCGGTGCAATCGGAACCACCACATTAAACCACTGTAGTGTGTCACTGAGTGTTAATAAAACGTTGATATTCATTTTCAACATCGCAAACAGTCAGTGTGGGGTCTCATTCCAATCCACATACTAACCGCGTTCTAATATCACTAAACCTTTGCGATTGGAGACTGTGGATAGAGATGAGGGCTTCAAACTGACCTTCAGTCAGAGACTTCATCCGAAAGCGGTTGACGGTGCCCATATGCTTGAGGAAGTCAGCATTTTCATTCATATTCATCTTTTAACATCGATAACGTGTATTGAATAATGAGGAGTTATCTCCAAACTGTTGGCTTAATGACTTGACGGTGTCAGAAAATTAGCGGTCATGTGGGTTCAGAGACAAACTCACATGAACTCGATTTTCGAAGTAGTAACCGAACCTTCCAAACATCATCTTGTGTAGTAAAATAACACCGGAACCACATACCCAAAGTAACACTAGCACCATGATCGTAGTGCAGTTCTACAATACTGTTTTTAATGCTGTCAATTTGTGGTGCAGTAGCAGAAGTGTAGTGAACAAGAACATGAGTGGGGACAACCGAATATATTTGAGCACAAAATTACAGAATATCTCACTAAAATCTCACAACCATACAGTAAACGGTTAATTTGCAAACTATCAATCAATTGTCTCAATCTTGACTGTTCCTTCTGCAAATATCAGTCCATCGACTCTGATTACATTGTTCATGCATTTTCATACCAATTGCGTTCCGTTTCCGTTCTTTCCTTCTCGACCTACTGAAATACATTCTCTGCCTGACCATCATCATATATTACTTATGTGGATTATGAATACAGTGGTCTTGAGTGCTGTTATATACTACCACCACTAAATTAACTGTTTCTATGAATCCGGTGTTCATCTTGTTGTGCTAACGAGGTATGGCAACTTGGACCGATGTATATATGTGCCTGGTCCTACGTTGTAGTTGGCTGACTGACTGACTTATATGGATATAAGTAACCCGCACCACAGAAGTAAATGTTCTAGGTTGGGAGGTGGGCGTAATTTTCGTATCTGCCAACATGATAATAGTTCCACTTTTACAGGATCCATTCTTACACCAGTCTCATCGCCACAGATATATTTTAGGGATTAAGATATCACCTATGACTAGAGAACGGAACGAAAGTCAGCAACACAACAGCTAGTATTTTATCATAGATTTTTTTAGAGCGTTGTTGCCGTGTGATTATGGTGAAATGCTTAAAGATGATATGTAGTTGGTGAAATTGCAAGTGTTTGTAGTTTCAACCGAATAGTTCAATCCTCAGTTGTTTGAACTAAATAGCCGAAGGTATATCTTAATATTTGTAAATAATCTCTTCATAGAGCCATTCTGCAAGTCTATTTCACATTAATATTTTTTTTTATCTAGAGATGGAGAATGCAGACAACTTGCAGTTGCTTATCAAGATTGTTCAATAGTTATTTGGGATACGTATACTGGCCAACCGATTCATACAATTACTGGTCATGATAAACCAGTTGTGGCTGTACGTTGGGGTGGAACAGATTTAATTTATTCTGCTAGTCAAGACCGTACGATTCGTGTATGGAGATCTAAAGATGGTGTGTTATGTCGTACACTAAATTTGCATGGACATTGGGTAAATTGTTTGGCCTTAAGTACTGATTATGTATTACGTACTGGTGCATTTGATCCTGCCTGTGCTCAGTTGGTCAAAACAGTTCCTATATTATCAAAAGATCCAGAGGCTAGTAAGTAATTTATGACTTTCAACAATCTAAGGAGTATTTCTCACTGTCATGTAAATTGAGATTTGTAATTTCTAGTGTAATGAAAATGAAACTCTGAGAATTCTACATTAGAACACACCTGAAGATAAAATACTACATATGAACCAAGACGATAAGTTGCTGGTTACTAACCTAAGGTTCTGACTTATACTTCTGGTACTTAGATGCTTAACACTGACTGTTAACGACCTCTTAGTTCTTCAGAAACTTACTCCTTAGGCCTGAACAGAAGACAAAAGGTGGAAGTGTGCAGGTAAAATCTAATTAGAAAAGTAGTTTAGATATATAAAACAACGACATTTTTGGGTTTATGCTTGACGTTTATATCCTAGTAGCTTTTGGAAACATGCTAGATTTAGTTACACAATTGACGATTATCCAGTTAGGATATGACTCAGTTATTATTTTCCCATAACTCTAATTGAATGAAGTATTATCAATCTTTTCCAAGCTTTTGAAGAATTCTCAAGGCTCCCTAGCACTGACTTGATGGATTTTGCAAACATGTGATGTACTCTGTTAGAAATCAGTCAGTCAGTCACAACGTAGAACTTCGTACGTACGTACATCAGTTCGAGTTGCCATACCACATTAGCACAGAGATGCAGTTATCGATTCAAATCCCATAGTGGTAGAAGAAGTAATAGTATAAGCAGTAGTCGAAAAGATTAGGGTTGGAAGATGTTATTGAAGGAGTATAATCCAGTGAAATAAATTTGGAAAGAGAAAAAGAAACGGACATGAAGAATTTATAAGATTAGAATTTGGGAGAACACAAAGAGTAGATGTACCTTCACCATTGCAAACGATTTTGAGCCATATCATTCAAGGTCTCTAACTATCGGTTGTTATCATCTCGCGGATCCCAATCAGGTAGTCTACACCTACCAACATGGCTCAGTCCATTTGTCAGCGACTTCATGGATTTATGCCACGTTTTGGTCTGGCCGCCTCTAGCTTTCTTCCAACCTACGCCTACACCATAAAACATTGCACGTCGGGGCAGTCAGTGGTTGGGTCTACGTAACACGTGTCCCAGCCATCTCAACTGATGAAGTTTCACTACTTCATCAATCGATTTGCCATACTTACCTAGTACCCGTTTCCTAACAACTATATTACTTACCCGGTGGTCCCAGGATATACGAGCAATGCTTCGAAGACACCTATGATCGAATACTAGCAGCCTACGAATATCATTTACTCTTACCGATCATGTTTCACAGCCGTAAAGTAGGACAGAACGAGCTGTTGCACAGTAAACCCGTCCTTTGGTTGCTAGACGGATAACTTGCTTACGCCATACATGACGCAAGTTGGTGAAAGCTAGACGAATCTTCTGTATCCGTGCTGAGCTTTCGTCACACACCAGACCACAAGGGCTGATGAGACTCCTAAGATAAGTGAAGCGGTCAACAAGCTCTACTACTTCACTCCCTATCATTAGTTCAGGTGTCGATGCAACCCAATCATGAAGTAACATTTTGCATTTCGAGGGAGACAATCGCATCCCGAACATGCCTGCATAGTTGCTTATAGTGGTCAGAAGACTCTGCATTTTGTCAGTGTCTTCACCAAATAGAACTATGTCATCGGCATATTCTAAGTCAACAGGTGAGTCTCCTGATACAAGTTCAACTCCTCTAAATTTGGATGAGAAACGTGTTATTTCTAAAAGCACGTCTACGATAAAGTTAAACAAGAATAGAGAGAGTGTACAGTCCTGACGAACACCACTTGAGATAATCAATTCTGATGACAGTTCGCCATAAGCTCTAACTCGACCAGTTGTGTTCGAGTAGAGAGCCTTTATAAGGTTAAGGTACTTATTTGGTACTCCTTTCAGTGACAAACACTGCCACAGAACCTCACGATCAACAGAGTCAAATGCCGTCTTAAGGTCGAGAAATGCTAGGATTGTGGGAAGTCTGAATGTGTGTCTATGTTCTAGGACCTGGCATAGAGAGAATATCTGGTCTATACAACCACGTTCAGGTCGAAAACCAGCCTGGTTTTCTCTAGTTTGCTCTTCACGAGTTTTGGTTAAGCGTCGAAGTATTATTGAAGCTAATATTTTAGACACTATATTAGTCAAACTGATTCCTCTGTGATTGTCACAAGAGGACTTTTGTCCTTTCTTATAGACTGGCACAATCAGTGATTGGGACCAGTCAGATGGAATTACGTCCAGATCCCAGATTCTACCTAAGACCCCAGTCAATCTCGTTGCTAGTACTGGACCACCATCGTTAAAAATCTCAGGGGTCAACCTGTCAGGGCCTGCTGCTCTCCCTCGCTTCAGATTTCCTATAGCTTTTTCAACCTCGTAAAGAGCTGGAGGATTTACATTAACTTTCCATTCAGGACGACTAGGGATCGTGGGAAACCGAGGTGTGGCTGAAGGCCAGTTGAACCGATCCCTAAAGTGTTCTGCTCATCGATCCAATCTCCTGGATTGAGAATGAATGATATGCCCATCTTTGTCTGAGATAGTTTCGCTGACAGTTGGGTTCCTAATACCGGTTTCCTTATAGCAACTCAGATACAATTGAGTTTGTTTGCATCTAATTCAGTTAAGCCCTTTTGTTAACTTATTTAATGGACAGTCATTCATACAATAACAACCCATCTATACCATTGTACTTTTATTATATACGCTTGAACATTGCTTACTGCCTACGCATATATTCATTCCGCTAGCATTATTATTAATCGCTTATTTGATCCGATGATTCATGCTTTTCCGCTTATATATATATATATGTACATCTTAATCCTGTTTACTGCTCTTGCCCTGCTTGCTCTCTGCTCTGCTCTGTACTGTACATGCTTACTCATTCATCCGGCTCTACGGCACTGCTTTTTCATGCTTGTTTGACGTACCTGTAATATCGGATAACTGTGTGTGGTTCAGTAATAAACACGATCAACCCTTCGTATTCGTCTTCTGATTTATACATCGTTAGGACGTTGTCGAGTAACGGTTATCAAGACGAACAATATACGAAGCTTAGGGATAATATCGAAAATCAACCACCACATCCTTAACAAGTCTGAACAGTTGTCTGCTGTTGCCTATTGCCGCTGCTTTTTCCATCTCTCTTGCTTTCACTACCCACCACTGTTCACGATCATTACGTAGGCTTCTTATTAGCTCGCGCTTAAGCTGACTTCGCTCTTCGTTATGTTTAGAGCCATATGGGATGAGTTTTCGAGCATCTATCAGTGCGGTAGATGCTTCTGAGATCCAGTGTTTCTCCCTAGCCTTATGGTTTACCGTACTAGCAGATACCACTGCTGTTCCTACAGCTTTTCGAATGTCATTCCACGCTGCCTCGGGGTGGGCACAACTTACATGGCTGTCTAATTGTTTGTCTAGTTGTTCGTGAATCATATTCTTAGCTTGCCTATCATTAAGTAGAACTCTTAGAGGTTTCCCTGCAGTGTCTTTCCTACGTCCAGTAAGACGCAGACAGATACGTGCCCGCACTAGAGCATGATCTGAATCTAAGCATGTGCTCCAGAATGAGCTACAGTCTTCTATCATACCCTTCCATTGGTGGCTGATAGCGATGTGATGTATTTGGGTCCAACGTTGGGACGAATTCGGGGGTCGCCATGTCAAAAGATGTTTTTCCGTGTGCTTAAAGTTGGTATTTGTAAGAAACAGGCGGTTATTTGAGCATAGCTGCAACAGACGGTCGCCATTATCTATTCTTTAGCCACGACACCATAAGATCCACCCAGGTGTCTTTCCCTTTCGCCTAGTTCACCTACTTGAGCATTAAAGTCACCAGCCACTAATACTACATCAGAGCGCCTAGCTTTTCGGAGAAGGTCAGAAAGTTTCCTGTAAAACTCATCTGTATTGTCGAGAACTTTGAAAATTTAAAGACGATGTACTTCTATATAAGATTATGTCTTATTCGATTCATATTTTGTCCATTTAGCATTATTAAGCTTTCGGAAGCCTTAAACAACCGGAGATTGGTACACAACTAAGTTGTTTTTTGATAATATCCCGAATGTCATGTTTAAAGTTGTAATTTCTGAACGATAAAACATATAGAAGCAATGGGTCAGTCGAAATCGAGCTTACAGTTAGAACTATTTTAGAAGTAGTACAGAAGAACTTTTAAGACCTTATAGAATCGTACAAAATAATCCATCAGAAGAGTAGCTACCAGAGTTTTATAATTCTATCTCTTTGCCTTTTGTTAACGGGTTATTATCTTCTACGAATCGAAATCCTCTGATTAACATCTAATAAGTTATACACAGTCCTAATCTAATATCACTAATCACTACTTATTGTTATATATGTTCCTAACTGTAATTAATTAGCCTCTCTGTTTGATAAGTATCAGCATTGTTATATGACATATGTTTCGTTTATTCGGATTAAAACAATGAAAATTTCCACTTGTTTATTTTGACCTTTTCCAGAGCTGAAGTTGGCTGAAACAGCAAAGTCACTGTATGAAAAAGTTAAGGTAACTTCCTTTGAAGAGAGAAATACTTTGTGTATTCTAAGCAATATTTTGGATGCCCGGAGTAATTGTTGATATTGGTGTTTTTGTTCATATAATTTTCCATTTTCCGTATTTGTCGTAAGGAGCTTTGAAAATTCCATTTTCATTTGGCCACTCTTGATCTGTTTATTTTTCTGTAGGTTGATGAATTCACAAGAGATGTTTACAAGCCTAGCTAAATGGGCTTTATATGTAGCACAACTACTTGACTTTGTTTCAAGTTGAGATTTGAAGTAATGTCATGATTGTTATTGCGACTCATGTAAGGCATTGTACTTTTAGTTATGGTTTGTAAAACAATAAAAAACCAACGGCTAAATAGGTATTAGAGCTCAAAATGAGTTGTTATTGTACCACAAATGCATTTTTAATCTTTCGCCTTTCAATTGTAACTACCATTGTCACTACTCTTTATCTTGGCCTCTTTTCTGTATTCTTAATTTCCCATTCATTTGTTCATTTGAAATTTGTTAAATTATAATTGGTCTTAAAAGTAAGGTGTATTAGGCAATCTAAACCATCGACTACAGTCACAAGTTACATGTTTGTAGTTATTAAAGGTAATGTTCAAACGATAAAAATAAACAGGTGTGGATTTTCAAATCAGCTCAGGCAAAATCAGTTTACTAATTTCGTTTCCTAACTGGAGTGAGAGTATTCATTAAATGAGGTTTCCTATTGTTTATTTTAATATTTATCTATACTGCTACATACTGAGTGACTTAGTGTGAGATTATACGTTGTTATCCCTATCTGTGGAAAAGGTATATTTTTGCTAATATATTAATATTTCTGTTTAATTTAGGGTTCTAATACGGAGAGATTGGTTGCAGGATCCGATGACAATACACTTTCTTTATGGCAACCAGAAATTGATAAAAAACCTCTTGCTCCCCGTATGACTGGTCATCAAGGAGTTGTGAACGATGTGAAGTTTTCTCCGAATGGTCGTCTTCTTGCTAGTGCCAGTTTTGATCATTCCGTCAAAATTTGGGATGGTTTTACAGGACAGTGAGTTTTTTCTTGATACAATCATTGTTAAATAAAATCTTGAAGTGTGTGTAGTTGGGAAATGTTAATCATAATCCAAGTGTCTCATTTATTTGAATGTAGATAAGGAATACTTAACTTTTGTAGTTAGAATGAGGCTCAAACTCATAAATACCTGATCAGACCTCCAATTCTACCACAAATGTACTACAGTTAGAATTGTTATCTAGAAACCACTGCTAAACTTGTGATTATGAGGTACGATAATTTCAACCGTTGGAAAAGCATTCTTTGTTTTAAGCTGGTTTTGACTGGCTTACATTGCTTCTAGGTAGGAGATCCACAGACTCATTCAGTGTATAACATTTTAATATCGAGTGAAGAGTGATTTGTTTAAGTTTGCATAATTTGATTCATCAAGATTCGTCGATTAAGATCCTAGAAATCATAAAACTAAATGGTTTATAATGCCATCGAATATCGTTGAAAAGCAAATCCATTGGCGGTCCTACTCTGTTGTGTCCTTGGTAAATACTCCGATGATTGAAATACATCCAGATTGTATTTCTGACAATATCATATCGCTCAACATTGAATCACATGTTTCTGTCTACTGTATTTTCTCCTGTAAAGTTAGCTTCTATCATAGACTGAGCATATGATCTGATTTAATGCATTATTATCTTCAATATATGATTATCGTATTATCATATCGTATTTTAGATTTTTAGCTACTATGTTTGGTCATGTTCAAGATGTGTATCTAGTCTCTTGGTCAAGTGATAGTCGTCTAGTTGTATCTTGTTCTAAAGACTCAACGGTGAAAGTATGGTCTGTTAATGAAGTTCGTCGCTGGAATCAAGAATCTCTTACAGTATCTAAAGAAGAAAAGAAAAAACAAATATTTGCTAGTGATGTAGCCGGTAAAAAGCGATCCAGTTCATCATCGTCATTAGTACATCAACGTAAACGTCATTTGTTACATGATTTACCTGGGCATTCAGATGCAGTTTATGCATTAGACTGGAGTCCTGATGGACAATATGTAGTTTCAGGCGGTAAAGATCGAATATTGAAATTGTGAGTTTTAAGTATCAGTACTTTTTTCAAACAAGATAGTTTTTGCCATTAAAAACAGTAAGCAGACATATTTTTTATTTACATACAAAAATAATAAAAGTGGTTGTATTTCCCTTATGGAAATCGGTATCTATCTTTGTCTCCTAATGTTTGAAAGTTTTAATTTCAGCTGTATCATGTACTTCATCAGTTAAGTTAACTACCCTATGTTTCATATGATCTCATTCTTAGTGATGTACTTGCTTACGCCTGGTACCCCTCAAAGCAGAGCATAGACCACCCACCAGCATTCTCCATCAAACTCTGTCATGGGCAATCTTTTACAGTTGCTATTAATCCTTTTCATGTCTGCTTCCGATTCCCGACGCAGCGTGTTCTTCGACCTTCCTCTTTTCAGTTTCCCTCCAGGATTCCAAGTTAGCGCTTCGTGATGCAGTTTGGTGATTTCTGTAATGTATGTCCTATTCACTTCCAACGTCTTTTCCTAATTTCCTCTTCAGCTGAAAGCTGCTTTGTTCTCTCCCACAGTAGGTTGTTGCTGATGGTATCCGGCCAACGGACATTCAGTATCTTGTGTAAAAAATGTTTATAAATACTTGAACATTTTTGATAATGGTTGTAGTAGTTCTGCAAGTTTCGATTCCGTAAAGTAATACTGTCTTGACGTTCGTAATGAAGATTGTTACTTTGATATTGGTTGACAGTTGTTTTTAGTCCCATATGTTTTTCAAGTGTAGGAATGCTGTCCTTGCTTTGCCAATCCTCGCATTTACTTCTGCATCAGATCCTCCTTGCTCATTGATGATGCTTCCCAGGTACAAGGAAGTTTCCACTTCTTCCAGAGTTTCCCCATCAAGTGTGATTGGGTTGGTGTTCGCTGCATAGTATTTAATGATCTTGCTTTTTTCGTTGTGTTTGTGGAGACCTACTGATGCAGAAGCTGTAATAAGAATGTTTGAGATAACAATTTTCACAATTGTATGCTATATGTTGTTTACTGATATTTGTACAATCTAGTGAAACCTAAGTTACTGAGATGGGAAATAGATTATATTGAATTATCTGTTCATATTGATGAGTCTAGTTTATTTATTTGTTATCGTGTTAAACCATCCACGAAATCGTACTAACCTGTTAAAAAGCGATATACTTTAAAAGCATATTGTTTCTACTAAGGTTGTGATAATCGTCTTCATTCGATTCTAAATAAATGCACCCAAAGAGTCACTCTGACCGTTAATTCTTACACCTGATTAGATTTTTCAAAATATTTCGTTCAGTCACATTGAAATAGTAATAAGCGGTATTTTTCATAAACCCAATTTTATGTAAACGTTAATTCCTCTCGTTTCCAAATAATTATTATCAATGGCCACCGTTTGTATAAAACTAAAGTATTTCACTACTGAGATCAGTTAGTGGTTATGCTTTTTAAAAGATTCGTTTTAATTGCAGTAAACATTTACTATAATTTTATGGTCTACATCACTAACTGAAGACCGGAAAGCATTGAACAGCTGTTTCGTCCTAGTACGAGACTCCTCAGTACTGCGTGTTCATTGTCACACTAAAGGTCAAGTCCAGGGCCTACGGATCTGACAACAAGCGCTTAACTTTAAGACCACTGGTCTTAGATTCACTGACACATCTCATGGATGCGCACTACTGACAAGTATCATAATAAGATGAAAAAGTTGTTGAATGGTTAATGGCTTTTCAATAGTTGTTTTTAACTATTGTTGGTCTGTGATGTAAACTATCAAATCAAATTAATCTCCATACGGTTGATTAACTTAATTAACGGGGAATATTTTCTGTTCTTGTTTTTGTTTCCCCCTACCTTCAACAATTTACCTTTTTTGAATTTCTGTTTCAGATGGCGAGCGTAAAAGTATCAGAAAATTAAAAGATTAATATCCGAACATTACTTTATATTCTTTACAGCCATCACTGAAATTTTGATTTTTGACACCATGTTGATGGTAATTTTTTAAAATATTTTTTTCTTACCTGTATATATAAACATGTATATGAAAAGAATTAGTAATTAAAATATATTACAGTGGATAGCAGTTTTATGTTTTTTTTTCTCGTTATGAAGCAATTTTAATCTCAAGGTTTAAGGGAAGATAAAGAGTGTGTACACCTACGCCATTGTGGTCGATTCTGAGCCATGTCACCTAGTCTCCAACCATTGGTTACGCTAGTCACGCGGACCCCAACGAGGTAGTCTGCATCTACCAACATGGCTCAGACCAGAAGTTAGTGACTTCAAGCACTGATGCCATGTTTTGGTTTGGCCGCCCCTAACTCTCTTCCAACCATCCTCTACACTAGTCAGCGTAGCGCGTCGTGTTAATTGGTGTTCAGTCATACGTAACACGTGGCCTAACCATCTGAGTCGATGAAGATTCATGACCTCATCAACTGATTTACCATCATTTCTTAATACCCTGTGTCTAACCTCATTATTACTTACCCGGTGATCACAGCAGATGCGAGCAATATTTCTAAGGCATCTGTGGTCAAATACTAGTAACCTACGAGAATCTTCTACCCTTAATGGCCACGTTTCGCAGCTGTAAAGTAGAACAGAGCGAACTGCTGCGCAGTATACTAGTCCTTTAATTGATAGATGGATATCTCGTCTTCGCCATAGGTGACGTAAGTTGGCAAAAGCCAAACGAGCTTTTTGAATCCGTGTTGAGATTTCGCCAGACATCAACTACTTGAGGCTAATTAGACTGCCAAGATAAGTGAATTTGTTGACTCTTTCGACTACTTCACTCCCTATCCTTAGTTCAGGTGTCGACACAGGCCAGTCCTGGAGTAACAATTTAGATTTAGATGGGGGAGAAACGCATCTTAAAAATCCTGGTATTGTTACTCAGTGCTATCAAAAGACTGCATTTTGTCAACGTCTTCTCCAAACAGGACTATGTCATCTGCGTATTCTAAGTCGCTTAGTGGACTTCCTGGTAGGAGATCAATTCCTGAAAATTCAGTCGAAGAGAGTGTTATTTCCAGCAACAGGTCTATAATGAAATTAAACAAAAATGGGGATAGTGGACAGCCTTGACGGACACCACTTGAGGTTGTAAAATCATATGACAGTTCGGCATAAGCTCTCACTCGACTGGTAGTGTTCGAGTAAAGAGCCTTCACAAGGTTTATGTACTTCTCAGGTACACCTTTCAATGATAGACACTGCCAGAGAACCTCTCGGTGTACAGAGTCAAATGCTGCTTTTAAGTCAAGATAAACTATCATTGTCGGACGCCGATAAAAATGTCTGTGTTCCTAAACCTGACGAGTAGTGAATATGTGGCCGATGCAGCCACGACCAGGTCTGAAGCCAGCCTAATTTCTCGTGTTTGCAGTTCACGAGTCTTAGTTAGGCGCCCGATAATTATTGAGGTTAGTATTTTAGATGTTATGTTAGTCAGACTAATCCCTCTATGGTTATCACAGGATGATTTTTGGCCCCTTCTTATATATTGGGACAATCAGTGATTGTGACCAGTCGGATGGGATTACGTCCGTCTCCCAGATTTTAGCCAGAATATTAGTCAACCTAATCGCTAAAATTGGGCCACCATATTTAAAGACCTCTGGAGCCATTCCATCAGGACCAGCTGCTCTTCCTCGTTTCAGATTACTTATAGCCTTTTGAACTTCAGCTAGGGACGGGGGACCTACTTCAATGTTCCATTCAGGTTTTCTGGGAATAGTGGGTAGTTGTGGAGTAGCTGAAGGCCAGTTGAACTGCTCCTTAAAGTGTGCTGCCCATCGTTCTAAACGTCCGTGCTGAGTGCAGATAAGGGTTCCGTCTTTTTCCGAGATCGTTTCATTTACAGTTGACTTCTTAATTCCGGTTTCTTTTATTAGTCTGAATAGTTGCCTGATGTTGCCTACAGCCGCTGCCTTTTCCATCTCTTTTGCTTTCGTTGCCCACCACTGCTCACGATCTTTTAGTTAACCTAGATCTAATTTGTTTACGCTCTTCGTCGTGTTCAGAGCCTGATGGGATGAGTTTACGCGAATCCATCAGTGAAATAGACTTAGAAGAAATCCACTGCTTTTTTGGAACCCTATGGTTTAAATTACTTATAGATGTGACTGCTGTTTCCACAACTGTTCGTATGTCTTTCCAAGCAGCATCTGGGTCAGTCTCGTTTACAGAACTGCCTAGATGTGAACTCAGTTGTTCCTGGAATTCGCATTTGGCTTTCTCGTCCTCCAGTTCAATTCTAATGGGTCTTCTTAGTGTAGTTTTCTTGCGTCCATTGAGGCGCAGGCAAATGCGTGCTCGTATTAAAGCGTGATCAAGATGTGAGTGTATGTGTGTGCATATGTGAGGTTAATTACATTATTTACCATACAAGAACATTACTACCTAAAAGTTAATGGGAAAATAATCCACTTTTAAGTAAAATGATAAGAATCAACAATGAGGTAAATGTATATCAAATTTTAATAGTCATTTTTGTCAAAGTTGTTGTTCAAAGACTTTCAGAAATCCAATGATATATTTATGATTTTATGTTCAATGAAATGAATGATAATCAACGTAAAACTTGGTATAATCATTTGTTAACTAAATTTACCATACCACATTAACACAAATAGATGAAACTAAGAAGAGGTATAGTAAAACAGATCGAGATAATATAGTAAGAATCATAATAAGAAAGAATAAACATTAAATTATGGTCTGAAAAGATGAAGTAGAAAAACATGTACAAAAGAATGCTTTACCTTAAGATCTAAAATAAAATAACAAGTGAATACTTCCATATATAATGGATAACATGAAACAAATGTTAAATGTTCCTCGTTTCAGTGCTGAATTCACTAGACTTAAATAAATTAACTAGTTAACTATCTAGCTATATGATTACTTTTTCAAAAATTAAAAAAAGATGGCTTTGTATAGATTTTCATAAATTTATTCAGTTATGGTATCGTATTCAAAACAGTATTGAGGACTTGTAAGTGTTGTTTATTGTTGAGAATTCGTCAAAAAAGGTGAAATAATTATTTACTGTTGTCTGGGTGCCAGTGGTTCAAAATTCAACTTAATTTCGAAATATGTTGTCACTAAATGACTATTTTTCTCCTACATATGCTTCGTTCTTATTAATTGTTAGCCATCGCCTTTTTATCGGATTCATCAAACTTGATCAAAGGAAGTAATTGTTTTTAGTGTAAGATAAAACTTTTTGTTAGGGTGGTTTTCGAGAAGCACGACGAAGGCTCTGAAGGAGCCTAAGAGACTCCACCTTATGAGAACCTGATGGAACTCTCTAGAGTGCTGCGATTGGACGATAACATAACTCACTACCTTGCAAATTAGCTAACTTTTAATTATGTTATACCCAATGCTAATAACTATAAATACCCATGTTCTTCTGTACACTTTTGATTCTTACCCAATAATCACTTCCCCTGTTTCTTTCGTCCTTTAATTTGCGACTGTGCTGTTTTACACTTTCAAGTGCCGTTAGTTAGATATCGTATTCGGCCGTAATCTGGTAGAGGACGTAACATGTTAGTAGGTCATTCACTGGTCGTTTAAATTAAGACCTGAATATCAGGCATATAATTTATGTCCACTGGTTTTATTTAGTATCTCAGAATAAAGTAAGGAGCTTTTATATTGTCGAAGAATCACGCGAAGTAATTTTATAGTTTTTAATACTCAGTACGAAAGAAGTCACCAATCCACGATCCTATGTCTGAATATTCTTTTCTTCTCAAAGTTACTTTAAAGATAATGCTTATGTTAATCATTTTAAAAGTTCTACCTCGAAAGCAGTATCTCACGTATCAGTTCACATAAATTCATACCTTATTGAAGATTTTACAGTCGAGCGTGGGGTGAACCTGCTCTCCTCGAAGTGTTTCTTTATAGCCACTGCCAAGGATCTCCTACTCATTTCATTATCAATGTAAGAATGATGTTCACGTTGTAAAGACACAAAGCGAACATCCAATGGTTTAACAGTTTTGATAGGTACAGTGGTTTCACTTAGAGGAGTTCAAAAACCCTGATTCCAAACCAGTGGTCCATATGACCTCTAGGATTTTGAGAAAACAAAAGTCGTATGAGAGTATTTTATTCACTAGCTAACATGATGCAACATCTGATGTTGCATCACTGCCTTATTGATTAAGCCTTTTGGTCAAGGCTCAGGAACTACCCTTTGAGGAAAATATCTGTTTCTGTTTAGAAGCTCCGACAATATCCTTGCCCATTTACAAATATGACAATTATGAAAAAAATTCTTTAAACCTATCGATTATGAGATAATCTATGTGTTTGATACAATCAATTCTTTGTTTTTTTTTCTTTTCTAATCACAAACACTTTCAAAATGATATAAGTAGTAGATAAAATGAATTTTTACTTACAAATTTATCTTAATTCATCATTTCTTTTCTTCATAAGAAAAAAAAATAATCATAGACAAATGAATTTATTCTTATTTATAAATAAATTAGATATAAACTAAGTTGATCATTGAAATAACAAACACATCTAACTTGATGAATAAATATAAAGATAGATAATATAATCAAAAAATAAATGACATTCATAGGGAAAAACTTTTGTAAAGAGAACGGCAACTAATAGGTGTACATAAAGGAAAATATATTCAATTATTCGGGGGTATATTTATGTAATAATGATGATTATGTATGTTTGTGTGTGTGTGTGTGTAACTGTTCCTATTTGTGATTGCTATTATCACTAAAATGTAGACGCAACCGTTTATCCACTAATAACAATTATTATCATTTCCATCAATTTATTATTCATACAGTGGAAAATTAATTAACATTGGATAAAGCGGCATAATAATCGTACATTGAATGGGAAAAAAATGTCTATATTGTGATTATAGAAATGATAAGCTAATTCCTTTTTTTGTTTTGCTTGTCTATGAGTGTATGTGTGTGTGTGTTTGTTTCATTTTAACCTCTTATTTTTTTTCTTTTCTACGTCTATTCTATTTGAAGTGTTCAAAATAGTGACAGAAATGATGAAATAGTTGATAATTGTAATAATTATTTATTATTCTTTTTTTTCGGAAAATGAGTTTTCAAGACGATTAATTTGATAAAGAGATTATATTTATATATGTATATTGTTTATTAGAGATTAGTTTTTATTTTAAACCTTGCCTTGAATATCCCTTACATTTTGTATATGTAAGAGACTAGTAAATAAGAATAATGCACAAAAAACGTGAATAATCATTTCTTTTTATTATACCTATTCACAATTTGAAGAATAGACTATCATTGTGAATTTTTACTTGATAGAAAGTTGTAAATTAGTGAATGTTTAGGGTAAATGTGATCCATTTTATTCGTTTGACTAAAATGGTAGGCGTGGGTTTATGTAAATTTTGAAAGTGTTATATTGCGAACTTATATTTCTTAGTATATCGCACAATACATTAACACTCGAACGCTAGAACCCTCCCAAGTCACAAATCAGAAGACAAGTAGAAGGAATGTTATTCCAAACAGTGTCGATCCTAGTACAAAATTGTCAGGTATTTATAGTTTTTAATAGAAACGAAATCATCATTATAATTATCCAATCGGCACACAGGGAGTTATCAGCATTGTCCAATTGGGGAGGTGCACGTAGCAATTCTAGGATATTCTTCCGAAAGCTGATTGGATGGAATATGTCGGGCTCCTTAGAGCTTCCTCGACTTCACCTGTGTACCATTCTCACAGAGAGGTAATTAAGAATTTATTTAATGAACTGTATGCTCTAGAGTATATCAAACACTTTGACAAAAATGTGCCTATATGGTTGCATCTAGGATTGAAAGGAAGGTATTCAGATATTAAAATCAACTTTTGTATTTCGGAACTTCATGTATTCACCATGAATTATTTTACTTTTGGATTTTTATTTATTGTAAAGATATACGATCTCAAGTCATATTAGCAAAAATTAAACGTTTTATGATGATAGAATTATCACTAATTGATTGTACTTACTTTATTAATTCATAACAAACAATTGTTGCTTTGAATAATTGAAGCTAAGTTAATATTCTGTATAATTTTATGATTAGTAAGTGATTTTACTTTCTAATCGTCGATACTTGGGACTGAATTCTGAACAGTCTGTGTTTGCATATGTGCATCCTGTGTCGATTGCCTCGAAGTTATTTAGAATGGATTGTTGCTAGCAATGAAGTCCGAGATTTACATTTTATCCTATTAGGGGACTCAGGGAAATTTCACAACATGATAGAATTTTGTATATATAATAGAGTAAGTGATTTAAACTGTGTAGTGGCTTACTTTCGATATTGAAATGTTTAGAAGACAAGAAATTGTTATGACTTTATAAAAGTATGCCGATTCGTTATGATTTTGTGTCCGGCTTTTATCACGTGATTTATTCACCAATGGAAATACGACTTTTCTGATCTTAACACAGTAACAAATCAATGATGTTAAACTGGTATGAGCAGTCTAGCGTCCTTATTGATCCCTTTTCCGCCTAGCCCTTCCAACTAAGTCCAGAACACCGAATGCAGCTTCTGCTATATGAATCATTTGTTTCAAGCATACTCGGCATATATACCAGACAGACAGACCGCATCACACCGTAAAATAGAAAATAATATTTGTACAAGATCAAGCCAAATGTGGCTGTGAAGGTGGGAGACAATAATCAATAAACTGAGTATAATTTAGGAACAGTAAATCGTATGATAATAATCTATAGGTCAAAATAAAGCTTATAATAAGATGAATATAATGTAATTACTCAATATTTAAACAATAAGATTATACATAGAATAATTGTCTATTAATAGGTCCCAGAAGTTACCCGTTGTTATGTCTTCGCTAAGATAAAACAGAAATGATAACTGGCGAATTTATTAGTCAATACTATAATTGATAAACATAAATAAGAGAGATCAAGGTAACTTATATCGACTTGATATTAGTTAGAGTGGTTGATTTAAGTACGTATGGGTAATTGGTCTTAATTTATCAATATGTGGATGATTTATAAACCTGAAAAATTTCGGTTCCATGCAGTTAGTTCCCTTTATTTAAAATTCGGTTCATTGATTTATGATACTTAAATTATTATATACTCGAGCGAATCTGTATTGTATAGCGAAGAATGTTTTTTTAAGACTACCAACCTAAGATTGAAATAATACAGAAACAAAAACAACTTAGTGGTTGCTTCACAATGACTTGCTCTCTTCACACTACTGATGAAGTAAAAAGTATCAACATGAATTATGGTGCTCAAAGTATATGGCCAGAATTGTGGTAATTATTTAGAAATATTTCCTTTAGTTTAGTTCACAGGATACACTTTTATCAATGAACATGGATTCGAATTAGTTGATTGAATTGTATATAACCTCTGTCTAACTGCAAAGAACAGCTGTTGATTGATTTAACCACATACAACTCTTTATCCATTAAAGCGACGTATACTTTAAAAACAACATTCTCATGTAGTCGACCACACTTGGTTTATTTTTCCTATTATAATAATACAACTCGTATTCGATTACTTCAAGAACGTACATCAGAATTTCAGCTCTATTAATGTTCACTAACATATTCGACATCTACAATGGGTTTTATATCCCGATGATTTAATTTTTACACTTTTTTCTACAAACTAAAGACTGGAATGTGTACGATCTTAACTTCCTAGAAAATTATATTCAAATAGATATCTTCGTCTTTTCATTATCCATGTATGAAGACTACTATAAACTGGTAGTTTCAGTTGGATATTTCATGTCAGTCAGTTATCAATTAACTTTAGATTATTACACATACTATTTTATTATAAAAGAATCTATTAGTCAGGTAGAGAGAAGATAATGATATCCTGATTCTTTCTCATCTACAAATAATAAATATAACATTAATTTAGTCTCAATAGGTTAAAACAACTGTTTATCAACTGATACCAGTATTAAAGCAGTCAAGCAGCAATCATCACTAATTTAGTAAAATGTCGGTATATATTGTCGAAGTAGATGGCTATAAAACAAACTATTTATTTGCGTGAAAACAAGAACAAATGTAGCAAGAAAGTAAACAATACGAGAATGTTAAGATCTAAAAATCAATAACTTGTAAAGTTGGATTTTTTCGCTTTACAAACATGAAATTCGGTGAATATAAGCACTGAAAATAGTTTGTTCCGTACAAATATTATTTTTACGTGCATTAGGAGCGTACATTGGGAGGTGCTTTTTATAGGTGACCGTTCGTCAAGTCTTCAATTAAAGCCCTAATCCACAAAGCAGTGGAGCACTATCGAAAAATCCTGTCTCATGGTGGCCGGTGACCGAAGTAGGTTCATTCGCCGCTTATCTCTTTTAAGATCCTGATGTTCATGTGTACCACTTTTGGAGCAAAGGTTTTCCAACCCGCTTCGATGGGTTCGCGATATCTCTCAACAATATTATATACCTAGGATTAAGTATTTGTCGTCTTATTCATTTTAAACAAAACTCCCATCAGCATGGAAGCAATGAGTGGGGAAAGTATCCTCACTAATGTGATCACTTTGATGGCTTTCACGCGGAGATCTTTAGTCAGTGAATGTTTCTATCTCATAAAAATATACTTGTTCTATTTGATTCAATAGGATATTATGATGTTTTACTGTGTTTTATGCTCAAACTCACTTCGAATTTGATTCCCTTCAAGATATGATTTTTAAGTGGATATGTTTAATTTACACTGTAGTTGGTCGATACAGATTTACAAAGTCATCAACCTACTGTATTACCCAACTATCTATGATTAGTTCACCAATGTTCAACATTACCAGAGATATCACTAATAAATATTACAGAGAATCATAAATAAATGACTTCATTTCATTGAACACAGAAAAATAAATTATAAGTCGGATTCAAATAAAAACTCATAATTCACTTTTGTTTTTATTTACTCTGTGTATATTATACTTATTTATTAGTATGCACAAAGCAACTGCCAGTGAATATATATATATATATATATATATATATATATATATATATATATATATAACGAAAGACTTTCACTGACATTAGAAAACATTTCTAGGATGTATGTGATTCGATTATAATTGATTAGCAGTATATGTAAACGGCTCCCATTGGAGCCATGTTACAGAGGAATGTAAAACAGTCATGATAATGACAAGATTCTAAATTGATCAGAAGAAAACTAACCAATGAAGCATCTGAAAATATTTCGAATTATAGTTCAAGGTTAAACAACGTATATCAATGGAAACAGACGTCAATTAATACCCAAATAAACACTTTCACAAATGGTATAAGGAAATCCATTCAAATTGTTTAGTGAAATCAATAGTGAAAATGATCAACCACATCGTACTTGAACTCTGAAGATATCTAAGTTATTATTATTGTTCAAAAATGTAGTAGTTTAGTGATAGACGTTTCGTTTTACTTATTGGTTTCTGATGAACTGGACATTGAACATGGAGGTAGTTGAGATGGGAAAGATATCGGAGTGACAGGAGTTGTATATATAATATTACTTGAAATATTACAGTTGCTATCAAGGTGAGTAGTATCCAACAATTCCGACTCAATGGGTTTAAAAGTGACGCTTTTGTAATCATCATTTAATAATAAAGAGTCTGCCTGTTGTATTTGTGAGTTAAGACGTATGATTAATTTGTATAGTTCATCAATTGCATTCGCTTGCATTAGAATGTAGTTTTTCGCTAATAGCAATGTAGCGATTTTTGACAATTTTCTTACAGATGGACTGTGTGCATACGGGATAACACTGCGTAAATCATCTAATGCATCATTCAAATCATGCATTCGTCGTCTTTCTCTAGCATTTATACTTAAACGAGCATTTCGTTGATGATGATGATGCTGAACGTGATGTTTGGTTACATTTCTTGAATGGGCATTTGAAAAATGATGACGATTTAAACATGTCAATGAATGAGATGTTGTTGTTATTAATGATGATGAAGATGATGATAACGGTGTTGTAAATCTCCATAGTAGATCATTTTTCTTTCTATCATAAGAGGTTTCGCATTTAATATCTGGGAACAAGATAAGGTCATCATTATTTTTTTGTGATTGAGTGGTATCATGTGAAGTAGTAGTAATGGCGGTGAATAAACAACTTTCATCAATATCGTATATTTCCTCCATTTATGATAAATATAAATGGGAATAATCTGTACCGGTTTGAAACGTCCTCACACCGTTTTCGTCGTTTATTGGTTGGATCTGTTGTCCAATCAGAAAAGGACCATGATAAGATGTCAACCAATCATATCTATTCGATAGTTTAACTATTCGTTACAAGGCTGGTTCGTTATATTTGTATTATACAGAAATAAAATTAGTTGGGGAGTAAACTAGAATATTCAGAAGTTCTATGAAATCTTCGGTAATGGAAACACAGGTATCAGTGTCTCTAAAAGATTATTCTAAAAAGATTCACATTTTCAGTACTGTTAATGATTATATCACCAATAAATCCTTGTCGTTATAGGCTAGCTTTAGTCTGAATAGAATAGTGACTGATTAGTAAATTAATAAATAATTTAATAAAATTCTTCCAGTTTTGGGAGAATAGTTTTGAAATAGTTTAGCACTGTGTGTTGAATAGTAAAAATAAAACTTTTTACGAAAACCATAACTGAAATCAAGTGTTTCGTTAGAGAGTTTGATCCAATCTTCTTCAGGATAATAATCTAAATTATAAAAATACAAGCAAGTCACAAATCAAGTATGAGCTAAACAACCGTTTAATTGTATTAGGGTTTCGAATTCGGTTCGATGTAGCATTGAATTAGTGTAAACAAAAGACAGTTGCTTGTAAAACTAGAAATATTGATTCATTACGACTGTGACGTAATCCGTTACTATCAAACAAGAAATGGTGCTCCATTTGTGGGCATGACTGTTTCCCATTAATTTTATTTTGTATTGTTTATTAATGTTAAGTATGTACGTATTGCACTGTTAGTTTTCCCAACTTGGCATTAATATTCCAAACTGCATTAATTTATATTCTAGGAACACATAGTCTTAACAACTGAGTATCACGTGTTTGAAAATATATTTATGTTAAGACAGTGATTCCAGAGTTTTGTAGGCTTTGCTCGAAAATTATACTTAAATGCAAAAATAGTTTCTCTTTATATATATATATATATATATATATATATATATATATATATATATATATATATATATATATATTGTATACTGTATATATTGTATTGTATTGGATACATTCGAAACTTCTTAATTATGGGAAAACGGGCCGAGTACTATCAACAATCCTGAGATCTAAAGTCCACATATTTTTGTGTATGTAAAGCATCTAAATGCAGAGTATTGCGAAGGGGATTTTCATTCAATTGACTTCCATTATATTATATAATCGAATGTGATTTTTTATTGAAGCAGATAAAGAAGAAAGAAAATACAAATCAGTCTTGTTCACCACCATTTTAAGTTGGAGTAGCGAACTATTGGCTCAGTGTACGATCGCATCACATACATAAATACTTGTTTATAAATGGAGAACTGATGCTACCGTTCCAGTTTTACGAAACTTTTATTTCGCCTTTATTGAGTGTTGTAGTTTCTTTGATATAACAACACTGTAAAATGATCACATTCAAAAGTATAGTCAGGATTTAATATAACAAGAACATTATAGAAATGGTTTATCAGGGAAATATTTATGCTGCTTCAGTAAGTTATAAAATCTATTTTCGTTAAATTAGGTTATACTCACTATTTATTCTAATTGAAATTTTATAAATTAATCTGTATATTCAAGGATATAGATGTGATTTACTGATGATGTAAGATACTCGTAAGTTACTAGTATTTGACCACATATGCTTTAGAAATATTGCTCGCATCTGCTGGGATCACCGGGTAAGTAATAAAGAGGTTAGACAAAGGGTATTAGGGAATGATGGTAAATCAGTTGATGCGGTCATGAATCTTCATCGACTGAGATGGTTGGGCCACGTGTTACGTATGACTGAACACCAATTACCACGACGCGCTATGCTGACTAGTATTGGGGATGGTTGGAAGAGAGTTAGGGGTGGCCAAATCAAAACATGGCATCAGTGCTTGAAATCACTAACTTCTGGTCTGAGCCATGTTGGCAGATGCAGACTACCTCGTTGGGGTCCGCGTGACTAGCGTAACCAATGGTTGGAGACTAGGTGACATGGCTCAGAATCGATCACAATGGCGTAGGTGTACACACTCTTTATCTTCCCTTAAACCTTGAGATTGAAATTGCTTCATAACGTTCTTCCTTCCTATACTATATCCTTATATACAACTTTTCTTTAATATACTACCAGCACCAAATGAACTATTTCTATGAATCCGGTGTTCATCTTGTTGTGCTAACGAGGTATGGCAACTTGGACCGATGCATAAATGTGCCTGGTCTTACGTTGTATCTGACTGACTGATGAATGTTAGCAAATACAAAGACCAGTTTGCAGCTTAAACTCTGGTTACATATAAAAAAACAAGGCAAAATAAATAGCTTGATTTATTTTAGGTAAAAATATTACCAGCTAGTAAAATTAAAATTTTATTCAGTAGCTGAAGTATGTATCCGAGTTTTAACAAAGATCATTAAAATTCATACTTGAACATAGAAAAGAAATATAGAATAAAATAGCATACTCTTATTACAGTATTGTAATTAAAATAAAACTGTATAAAGTTGTATGAGAAACAGATTAAGTTTAAGTATTTAACTAATTTTTAGTGTATTGAGTCCAGTTAATAGACCACTATCTGGACTAGGCTTTAAAATAATCTTTTGAACATCACGAAATTGAGGATGATCAGAACCACAGAGTATGGTTAATAGAGCTGATTCACATGTAGTCAAATAGACACCTGATTGACTCATTCGTTGAAATCCAAACATTCTACAATACATATATGCAAAGTATGAGAATACGAGGAAGCAAAATAGATTTTCAGTGAATTTGATTTGGTCGTATCATTATATTTAAGCAACAAGATAGAATATAGTTTAAATATTAGACTAGATATTAGAATACCGTAGGGCTACATTTTGCGGTTCGTCGAGTCTACTAATGTTATGTACGCTTCATAAATTAGTTCTCAAACCAACTACTTGATTAAGAAAACGAAGAGTAAGTAGGAAGATTTCTGTTGACCAACTGAATCGGAAGTACATCCACGAACTAATTCATAAACATAAATAAATATCCCTCAGAATAAAAACCAATTTTTCAACCAGTAGCGTATTTCTACTTCATCAGAAAGTCAACCCTAATCTTGACCAATAGTGTGTGTTTGTCAACATCTTTCACTGACTATTTGGCTTATATCTGACTGACTCAGCGCATCCATCAGGCAATCTAATCTCGTGAGTTTATATTCAAAAGTTTGGGCTGGTATGATGAAATGAGAAGTATACTTAGCACGTAGTGAGACGGTTTAGTAGATGCAGAACCTGACTTCTAGCCACTGGACTGTAGGATAAGAGTGTATGGAGAAATTCTACTCTCTAGTTACTTGAAGATTAAACGATTTTATAAAAATAAAAGAAGCTGATTAAGCCTTTAAATTATGGTTTAAATTAATCCTATGGTATTTTAATGAGTTAGTAACATTTTAGATTTTAATAGTCATCAAAAACACTGGAAGTGATTTAGCTCAAATTAATTCCAAGTTCTTGTTAAGAGATTCTTGCCTTAACTACAACAAAACCTCAGATGAAAATGTGAATAAATAGGACTACTGTGACCAATGTAAGTCAAAATAAAAAACCAATCAAATCATCAGTGAAATGATAGTACCTCAACAACGAATGAATGAGGATATCCTCCCTTACATATTCACTGAACTCTGAATTATTACCTAAGGCTAAAGTAGACAAACTGAAAACTCAAAATCTTGAGTTTCACCCTGACTGAAAGGGAGGGTCTATATGGCTGAAGTCTCAGAATAGAGCGAGACAACAGGATAATACTTCCTGATTTTCAATGATTATCCAGCTGATATCAGACTGAGATATCTAACAACAAAAGCATGGATTCTTCAAAGAGTCAATGGTTTCATTTATCATAGTAATTGATTTTACGTGATATTTTAGAACTACTAGGCTCTATAATTAACAAGAAGCTTCATTAGTGATCTTTTTCCAAATTGTTGGTTCTTATAAAATTTTGGTATCTATTCAGCTTTATGTAGTGAACAAGAACACAAGTGAAGTCAACCGAATGTATTTGAGCAGAATATCTCACTAAAATCTGACAATCATACAGTAAATTGTTAATTTGCAAACTATCAATCAATTGTCTCAATCTTGACCGTTCCTTCTGCAAATATCAGTCCATAGTCTCCGATTATTGTCCATGCATTTTCATACCAATTGCGTTTCGTTTCTGTTCTTTCGTTATCGATCTTCTACTGAAATATATTCAATGCCCAACCACCATTATATACTACTTGTGTAGATATAAGTAGCCCAAACCACATTAGATCGTTTATTACATAAAATTAATTACGGTCGAATAAGATAATTACCGGTTACATAAGTGTAAAAATCTTGTACAATTATGTAACGACATAAACAGATTAGTTACCTGTCAACCATATTTCGTGAAGACACAGCATCTACAATACAATGAACTTGTATCCCACGTTCAATTAAATCTAATGCAGTTGACTGAACACAAACATGTGTTTCAATACCACATAATAATACAGAATCAATTTGTTTTCGCAGCTCCAAAATATTGGCTACTTCATCTGTTAGCATAGTAAATGATCTCTTTGAAATGATGGGGATACCATTTAAATCTCCTAACTCTTTAACAGTAGGACCTAGGCCTGAATAATAAAAAGATTTTCAAAGTACTTTAATACTAAATTTCATGTGAAACTTCGTAAAGAATGCACTGAAAAGCACTATCGTTGGAAAAACATAATTTTAGCTATTATTTTCAATATAATATTTTATTACCTAATTTTTAAGGTCCTGTAAACAGTTATTTGCGAGTTGTCTTTGCCTATATGTAGACTTTTATAGAACCATAAAAGTTCTGTCGTAAAAACTAGTCTTTTTCACCTAAAAGTAAAATGATTTGTCGTTGTATAAGTTTACATGGTCAATAATATTCGCATTATCTACGTCTACTTATTAGTGTTATCTCTAGACCTTTACATCCCAGTGCAAAGCATAACAAGTATATTACCTTAAGTAATTGTAACCCTGGAAAATTCAAACAGGTTAGATTAAGAAGTCAATAAATTGTATTTAACTCTTTGTCCAAAGCATGTGACGAATGTATAATATTTTTGACTGAAATATAAGAAATAGTTGAGACTGATAGCTTTAAATTCCAATCGATATTACCTAAGATTAGTTTTACAGTCTAGGTAGCATCCGTTTTTTATACTCTTCCATTGTTAATTAATATTTGTTGACTTCTTGCTCACACCGACTTCATCATGGCCAAAATGAAAGGAGGGTAGATCTTAAATTATTTGAAAGTGTTCGAAAAACGTCTATGAACAAGAGAAAGAACTATTTTAAACAGCGCAATTACCAAAGATCTTTTGGACACAGGATATCGGGTCGACACTTTGAAACCACTTAAATTGAGCAATAAACAGCCAAACCCCAGTTTTCTGAAGCATGCTAAAGCCACCGCTATCAGGCATCAGGAATCTGATTGATGTTCAAAAGGGGTCAACTATTAATCTTTCCTTGTCTTGGTGGTAAATACTCTTGCATTACACCATAAAATTTTGTCCAACCCTCTTACAATTAAAACACGAAGTTCAGCGACGGAAACTCTTTCCAACGAATTTATATATTTCTTACAATTGTCCACATTATTTCATCGTTTTATTTCAACTATCTTGTCGACTAGTAATTTCATTCTAACTAACTGGACTTGATTTATTTTATTCTTAATTGTTATCAGAATTTACTAATTACGTAACCACTTGTTTTCATACCTTTGAATGCCATTACTATCAACTTTGTGAAATTTCCTTCCACATGAGATATATATTTACAATATTTTGTTTAGTGTATTAAATTTATTTACACCCTTGGTATAGAGTACTGATGTGTAATCAAACTACTTGTAAATATCACACGTTGTAAGCAGCTGATGAGAACCAAACGAAATAAAATGAATTCGTACTGTTCTTGCTCTCTTTAAGATGATAAAGGGAAATACGTCCATAAAAAAAAACATTTTTATCTGAACTATATACTATTAGTGTTATTCTTGTCATCTGTTAAGTTTTTGTTTAGTTTATTCTTCCGCCTGTAGAATTTGACAACTTGAACTTATACGCTAATATTGCTTTTGTCTTTTGGTTGACATTTTCTACTTAGATTTTTAAATGGTTTATTTATGTAAAACTTCCTTACATGTATGGTTTCATTTTGTTTGTGAACGTTTGAAACAATCATCGTAGCTCAACTATCTAGTTATTCTGAATGTTTATACTAAGTCAAATAAAAAAGTATAAACTTTATTAATCATTGCGGGGACTTGGTTTAAATGCAACGACAACACAATCATCATACTCCCATTTAAGATGCTTTTTATCAACATATGTAATACATGCTTAATAGACTTCAGGTTATGCAGTTTTGAAACAGCAATTATAGATGATAATTAATTAACCATATACAACTTTTATCTTGAATTATAACATTACTAAGACAGATTTTCAACTTAACACTTCGTTGATAAACCCACAACAATACCGCCAGATTTATACAAGAAGACTATACGAAGATTATGTCGACCATTGTCCTAAAAGAGGATAATTCTCAGAATATGACCAAAAACAGGAATCTATGTAACCATGTCACTATACATTAGTTCCGTGCAAACTTAAAACACTGAACTTCGCAATACAGAACTAAGAAATTCCTCAAATACGAATAGATCGAGGTGTTACAGTTAACGGGTTCTTTTTACAAAATATCTTACAAGAATATGAACCACACTTTAAAAATATGCTAGAATATTCTTCTTCCCAAAACACACCTTTAGGGTACATTTCAGTGACTAAAATACGCATTCCTAGCATACGAGCAGCTGTTAACATCCGACTAGAAGTTTCGACAATTGCATCAAAATGACTAATAGTTGGACGAAATTTTTCTTGTATATCGCATAACAATAAAGCAGTACGTGGTAGTAATAGTTTGCCGACTCGTGAAATGCCAGACATAATACTGCAACAGAAAGAGTATACAACACAACTTTTATGTTATAGCGACAAAAGGTAATCGAACAAACACGACTAACGATCAACAAAAACAGCATATACGTTTATTGAAATTAGTAACGAACACATCATTTGATATCCTTTGTCAGAAGTGGAATGGCTCAAAATCGATTGCAATGGGGAAGAAGTACTCTTTATTATCCAGTCAGCCACGAATATCTTAAAACCCTTTAGTCGTTTGTTAACCATCGGCCCGTATTTTACTTATTTGTTTTTTTTGTGTCTATATATTTTTCTGCTCCCCTCGACCGTTTTTTAATACTGAAACTCAAAGCAATATACTTGTCTTAGGGATTTTTCATAGTTGTAATTTGTGTTAAAAGGGAAAATATACAATTTACTTATGGGTTTTCACTACAGATTATTAACCTCGCTTATGGCTAACTGGACGATTTCGCCAACAGTGGTATATTTATTAGGTCTTGCACACCTTTAGAAAACGGTAACCAAGTAGAGGTTAGATTTCTTTTGCATCTTCAATCACTAATTTGCGTTGTTTCGCAAACCTTACTGAGATATCGTCAAATTCAATACAACTTAAATCCAAAATAACTTTGTAAATCACTGTAATATCATAACACATGTTTAGGGACTTGGATAATTTAGTACTTGAAATCTGTTGTAATTCAAGTCAAGATAAGACAAATAATAATGAAAACTTGTCTTGACACTAGAACCAATAAGAATAGGTTTTGTATGCATGCACTGACCTTCTTGTAAACATACCCATATAAAAATATTTGTCTACCATTTCAAACAGTCTATTGTTACAAAAGCAGACAAACATATACACACAGGATTAAGTACAACTGAAAAATAGAGAAGTTTCAGAAAAGTATAATTGGATATTACGAAATTAAATCACAACCTCATCATTGAATCACAGTTGAAATATGATTAATATTTATTAATTACATTCAATCTTAAGGAAGTTAATTGGTACTAAGCCGCCAACTTGATCACGTTCTCGCCAGACCTCACAGAATCCATCAGGAAGTAGTTTCCTGATTTGAACTTCGTCATCGCACTGCAAGGCATAATGTGAATAGTAATTGCAAATCAACGTTATCATTAAATATACTGACATGTACCAAATAGTTTAAATCTTAAAATGTTGTGGGTAACTACCCGAAAAAACGAATAAACTAGGTTGTGCAAGCCCACATTCCTCAAAAAAGATTCAAAGGTTAACATAACATTTGTAATTGTAACTGAGGAATGAAACACAAAAGCACGCGGTATAAGTTCAGTCAGTCACGACGTACAACTCCGTACGTACGTACATCAGTTCGAGCTGCCATACCACATTAGCACAGAGATGCAGTTGTCGATTCAAATTCCATAGTGGTAGAAGAAGTAATAGTATAAGCAGTAGTCGAAAAGATTAGGGTTGGAAGATGATATTCAAGGAGTATAATCCAGTGAAATAAATTTGGAAAGAGGAAAAAGAAAGGAACATTAGAATTTGGGAGAACACAAAGAGTGGATGCACCTGAGCCATTGCTTAGATTTGGAGCCATGTCATTCAAGGTCTCTAACTATCGGTTGTTAACATCTCGCGGATCCCAACCAGGTAGTCTACACCTACCAACATAGCTCAGTCTACTTGTCAGTGACCGTGGATTTGTGCCACGTTTTGGTCTGACCGCCACTAGCTTTATTCCAACCTACTCATACAACATAAAACATCGCACGTCAGGGCAGTCTGTGGTTGGGCATATGTAACACGTGTCCCAGCCATCTCAACTGATGAAGTTTCACTACCATACTTACCTAGTACCCGTTTACTAACAACTGCATTACTTACTCGGTGGTCCCAGGATATACGAGCAATGCTTCGAAGACACCTATGACCGAATACTAGTAGCCTACGGATATCCTCTACTTTTACCAGCGTTTTTTCACTGCCATAAAGTAGGACGGAACGCGGTATTAGTTAAATATATTTTATTAATTGCGGCGAACAGAAAAGCTAGTGGGGTTATGGACTAGGAATTTACGAGTTGGTGAACCCGGCCTGTAGTTGTTAAAACAAATAAATAAAGTGTGGCCGACAGGTATAAAGTAGTACAGTGTGAACGAGTGATGGTTGATCATGAGACCGGATTAATGATATATGACTGTGAATGATTACAAATTAAAATGAGACCATTAGCTAGAGGAATAGGGTTTTTTACCAAAAAAAACTACAGGCTTGTATACAAAGACATTCACAAAAATAACGTGGTTTCATGTCACGAATGATCGGATAAAACTAATTTCGAATCACCTTGACCGCAATGAAATGACGTGACAGTAATTTACTCAGACCTGTTTTTTGATTGATCACCTAATATTCTTGGATTGTTCCGTTGTACTATTTAAACTTGGATTAATGTTAATTTGGTTATTTATTCTCTGAAGAAGTGGCTTACACTGAGTCACGAAACGTCAGAAAATCTAATTTTTCTACTCATTGGGATATTACAAATATATTATTTATTTATAATTTCGTGAATCGTTCATTCTCCAGTGGAGTAGAGCCAAAATGGTAGGCTTCACCATTATATCGGACTTAATAAAAGTTTAGAAATGACTTGCTTGTGATTTCTTTAGAGTTCATGACTACAGAGAATTTTCAGCAAGGACAAGCAAACGGAATTTCTTAATCGGATATCACCTAAATTAACACCAGGCAAATTCTGATCAATCTGATTAAAGTTCAGTAACATACAAATCAATTACCTATAGAATATATATGTTAAAACGTCATATTTCTCAGGCTTTCTGTTGATGTTAGCTATGTAGAATCTCGGATAAATGCACACAGATATAAATTGTTACGTTACACAAAAGCACAAAGCAAGAAAATCAACAAGATGAAGTGAATGAATTGGACTGAATGAGTAGTAAAATAAATGGCGTATAAGCTAAGGATGGAGATTAAATTTCCGAAAACGACAACATCAGAAACGTCACAGAAAGGAAATGAACCATGGTTGTGAGGAATATAAATTGGGATTTAAACCAAATTTGACAGACATCACTCAAATTCTATAACCATAGATTAAGATTACCTAAGGAATTTCAGCTTGCAAGTCTGGAAATACTTACACGACCTAGTATAATAGCCAATGGTTTTATGGACTAATGCTACGCTTTTGTTCTCTGAGCTAAGTGGTTTGGTCGGACAAAGCGGACACCCTCTTCATCTTCGCCTGGATGAAAATCAATTAGCAGTTAAACACCATGACATGTCTTCACTTATATTAATACACGTGGACAACTGCGGACACACATTCGACCGGAAAAAATGTGGAGATTTTGGATAGAGGTAATTCCAAAAACACCAGAGAATTTTTGGAAGCTTGGCACTCAGGTCAATCAGCAATAAATGAGCATATTGAAATCAATCCAATTTATCAACCAATCGAGAAATTATGCAGAAACATAGGAACAAAAATCAAACTCATGGGAGATACAACCAAAACAGAGAAGTAAACAATGACGGATTTAAAGTCAACAGGAACCAATAAACATTGAGGTACACAGGACAAGCTGTGAACGATATGTGGAGAAATTCGAACACTTCACTTCTACCCGAAGTTTGTGCTAATGATGTCGTTCAGAAGGACGATGAAAGCTCCACGACCAAACCATCCAGCTCAGAGAACAAAACTCCATCAAAATCATTCACCTGAGCTACAAATCTTCTCCGCCATCTCAAAAACTAATGTTACGCTTTGGTTAAGTTACATACAGTCATTACTAACCTATTTCTACTTCACAATAGGTGGTACCTAAGATGTGCTCATAGCACCAGGCACCTTGGTCAATTAAGAGTAAAGATCGTATTGGCTATATGATTTTGATACACATAAGCAATACTTTGAAGAAACGTAGGAAGGAATACCAGCAACCTAAAGTCATCCCCAACAGCAGACTCAAAAAGCAGCTCTTCGGGTTCCCGTATTATTTAATCTACAGAATATGATATCGCGAGGTAGTTTAAACATAACGTTTGAAACATCTAAAAAAAGAACTAACCTCCACTTTCAAATGATTTGTCGCGAAAATACTGGGATTTCTAGCCCTTACAACCTTCCCAGTAGCTGGTAACTGAACAGATTTCAGCATATGACAATAGGTTAAACCAAGTTGGTCACCAAGACCCTTTAATCTAGCAACAATTTCAGGTGTAAACTAAAAAAATAGGAATATCATGGATACGTCAGTAAATAATATGAAAGATGTTGTGATGGGAATACAATTTATAGGTGACTTGAGCGATGCTAGTGATATTGAGACAACTCACCTATTTACCAAAGTTAGAAGAGGGCTACAAATCGATACGAAAAATTAGGATTACGATTTACAGTTAGAATTTAAGGTTGGGAATCAAAGTAAGGGTTTTTATCACGAACTCACATCAGCTATAATCTCAAAATGCCATTTAACTATATGGATGAGTGAATCTTGAGCTAAAATCCAATACTTACTATCCTTAATTTCGCTGTTTTGTCCATGAATAATAGTCTATAATTTATGGACAAACCAATCGGGTAAAAGATAACAGGTCTTGAATTTTTGGAGCAAAATTCACGCATTATAGCTGATACCAGTTCGTGATGAAAACCCTGAATCTAATTCCTAACCCTAACCATCAACTGTAAATCGTAATCCTAATCACACACTGGTTTATAGCCCTCATTTGTTCCTAGTTATTACGTGTACACTCTCGAGGTCACTTGAGTGTCACTCGAAGGTCGTCCGTAAATTATAGTCCCACTGTTAACGTAACAGACGTTATTACAGATGTGATAGCCAGTTACAGCACAGTAGAGCCTAAGTGATCTAGGGTTGTGTAGTAAAACCGGTTTTCACAAGCGGAAAGCTGGCTTGGTGATCAAAATAACTGAGTTCCAACAACTTGACTGTTATCTTTTGTTTATTTATTTATTTTATAATTTTTATTTAAACACATAAATATTGGTACAAAGGGGCATCAGATATATATGCGCCACACAAATCTCATCCGATTTGTGAGGGCTGTGATACTGTCCAGGTGATCAAACTGAAGGTGGTTTTCTTAGGGGACCACGCCCCGAGATTTTGACCTAAAGGTCTGATCCACAAGGCAGTGGATCATCGTGAGGAGATGCAGTCTCATAGTAGCCGGTGACCAACGATTGATTCATACGCCATTTGTTCCTTCAGGATATTGGAGCCCATGGGCACCATTGGTTTGGAATCAGGGTTTTCCAACTCCCCCAGGTGGACCTTCCCTGTCACATAACCTGGTTAAAGCGCTGGACATTCGCTTTTTGTCATCCCAATTTTGTAAACAACACCCCTGCCACGAGAAGTCAGTGAGTAGGACTTCCCTGTCAGAGGCTCATGTACGACAACCGAACAATCAGACAACCCCTTGGATGAAATACTAGATCGAAATCAAATACATGGACGCTAAGTTAGTTGCTAGGACTTGCTGACTCAAGTTGTCACGAGATAGGAAATTTCAAATTAGTGGTCAGCAAAACACTGAGATTTCGGATGAGAGGTATCATTATGTCATTCTAACCATTTCTGAATCACAAATTGCTTGTAGCAAGAATACAGGAAATATGTGTCATTAGTTCAAGGAAACTACATTACTCACCGGAGTTAAGTAATTTGAAGGAACCCAACCGATACGGTTATCGCCTGATTTACATAGAATCCACTCCCGCTTTTGTCTTATAAACGTTAACAAATCTCCCCTCTGAAAAGACAAATCTCCCTCTTCCTAGAAAATAACGAGGAAAAGGAGTGAACAACCTGTGCTTGAAATGAATATAAAGCAGCATAAGTAGCCTTCTGGGCTGGCTGCCTCATACGAGTACTGGAAGAGTGTGAAGTATGAAGTCTAACCAACTCATCCAGCGAAGAGTAAAGAGTGTCGCCAAACTTGAACTTTTTCAGCTGAGGTGCCCATGTAAGTAAGTAACGTTTAACTTCGTTCGCCTCTCTGATTATTAGCACATAAAAATAGACATACTTTATCGCCAGCACGTAACCTGACTTTGTGGTGCTGTCACGTATCAAAAATGTTCCAACAGGCTGATCAATTAGAATCTCATTAGCTTTTTCCCTGCTTATTTCTCCAAAATACCACCTACAATATCAAAACAAATCATCTAAACTAACGGAGCGTCGGGAACTAGTTCGACCGCCATGGTTTTCAAGGTCAGGATCGCGGATTTTCTTACTAAGAATGGAAGGCCTCCTGCATGTGTTATTCTTTTTCTAGCATGCTTCTGTGAGTGTCTAGTCCCATCTCGGATGAGTTAACCGTAGGTTCAGAAACCATTGCTTCAGGTAACAAGTTCTTAGGATTGATGATTCAGAGTGAGAGCGTGTATGCCACGAGTATTTTGTTCGTTCTTGGCTTTCCTACTAACTCGCTATGTCCTCTGAGTTGTTCTAATCTGATAGGGAAAAAATGAGAGGATATATCAGATCACCTCTTAAACTGTGGCTGGGGCTACGTCGCAGCCTATGTCTGTATGATGTAACTCAGGGTTCTGAGATGTTGAGATAAAGGGAACTGTTGCCACATTACCCAAACACATTTTATCGAACTTCGGCATTATAAACATATTTATGCCATTGAATGTCGGAGGTCCTTCGGAAACAAAAGTGATTGAACACAGAGAGTCTTCCAACATTCTCAGCTCTGAGATCAGAAATGCTCTCACTAATTTGTCCTAAATAAGACCTTTTACAGCCGGAATAATGTCACGAAAATGATGGCTCATGCAGTGGTGAGCCGCTCTTACCTTTATTGTGCATAGGTTGATATCATCTGATCCGTCGTCATCACTACCTACACAGCTATCCAGATGCACAAAATTTTCTATTGCATCTAACAACTCACTATTAAGAGTGAGAGCATGGACAGGTTTCTATCAATCTCGCAAAAGTACCTATAGGACGTGTCATGCCTAAAGACATCGACTGTTCACAGAATTAGTGTCGGTCGGACGTCTTTGATATCATCTCATAGTTAGACAATATCACCCAAATACTCAAAGTCGAAAAGTATTTCTCCAGACACTAGGTTACCCTTTTAGTAATTGGCTGTGCTTCCTATAAACAACTTACATAGACTAACTCCTCACTGTTAATGAACTTGAACGCCATTTTAATCATGTCTGTCTCCAAAAGATTAAATGGAAAGAAGGAATGACGAATGAATGAAAAGGTGTGATTGAGTTAAACAATGGTTAAATACACTTATGAGTCATAACTGAAGTACATACAAAATGTCTTGAACCAAAATTTCAGCTTCTAATTTTATTGAAACAATGTCGTGAGACAAATGTAATTCAACATTTTTGCTCGTACACAGATAACACTTCAGAATTACTTGTGAGTTTGAATAAAACTTAATCGACAAAATTGTAATTATGCATGAGACCGCTAAGTGTTTGTCTCATATATTTTTTTACACTTCTCAAAAATATAGGTGTACGCAACAACTAAAAGAAGTAAAATGGATGATGTGTTTGAAAACTGAAACAGAGTTCCTGCAACGCTCTTACTACTTTCTTCCACCAGAACCGTTTTCGGACTTCTGTCGATGACGAAGCGGAATAGTAATAGTGAAGCTGGCCAACTATATGAAATATAACTGCTTGATAGATCAGTGAATAGAGATGGCTGTATGCTCTCACTTTGCCTGGTGTGTCTGGATACAGTCTCATCAAGATGTTACTAACCTTCTCACTGGCACCACTTAACAGGCAATACGAGGGAACAGTGCGAATGACCGATCTGAAGACAACTAAGGTATCGACGAACAGAACGGATGCTGTTCTGAAATAATTATCGGGATTCTCTAACGTCTAAGATAAACTGAGGAAGGGACCAGAGAATTTATCACTTACTTACGCCTGTTACCCCTCGTGGAGGAGTATAGGCCGCACATCAGTCTTCTCCATTCAACCCGGTCCTGGGCAACTCTTCCAGTTCTTTCCAGTTGTTATTAGAGATTCTACTGCTACAACGAAATTCACCCTGATCCTTACGGGCCAGTCTCTTACAAGTTTGAACAATCTCTGAAGTATGATCGAAAACAATAATTCGGGTGCAATCGGAATTGGACTTATCCTGCTAAAGTTATAGTCTAAATGAAACAGACCCACATTACATATAGGAACGACGATGGGCTTATCCCAAGAGGTCGGGATGCACCGTTTTTCATTATTTTTTCCAATTAACTCGAAGTTTGCCACCTTCTTTATTATGCTTCGAATTTAACTCGTTTGCAACTACGGATCTGTAGCGCTTCGGGATTGGGGTTTTAAATTTGACTTCCACTTGATCAAATTGGCCAAATGTCACCGACTGTGGCGAAAGGAACAGTTCGATCGATGTTACTGAGGCAACGGACCGGCTAAACAGTTTTTTTTGAAAACGTTTATCGTCGTCCAGAATATAGCTTAATTTAATAGGTGGGGTTCTTTCAGATTTACAAACTTCATCACTTACATTGGGCTTCTTGATAGCAATGGTTAGATGAGTTGAGAAAGCCTTCGATAATTACTTTGTGTAAGTGTTTCTTAAAACCCATCAGTATTCCATGACCATATGGTCTCGATGTTTACAAAAGCGTTGATGACGTTCGTAAAGTACGAACTCGAACTCGTAGCTGGTGAGCGTAGATCGATGTAACTCCGTGAACTGTAATAAGCCTGCAGAATACCAGTGTTGGATCCATTTTGAAAGTGAAAATCCCTCCATGTATACATTTGTGATTTCTTCCTTATGTTTTCTTTATTTGTATATATTGTTAACTTTTTTGATGCTAATTAAGTCTGTAACGTTTAATCTTCTTGGTTTTACTATCGGTTTTTATTGAGTCTCTATGTTCCCTACTGAACTGTATCTAGTTTGTTTTAATTGCTATTATTCTGGCCGCTGCCATGTTGACCGCTTGCTCTTTGATTGTGCGGTTTGATTTTGACTGGGATCGTGCATTTTTGGTTGTAATTTGGAGCACTTTCCCAGAAATTGAAACACTTTGTGTTATAAAACAGCCGCTCAGACGGAATCGTACTTGATCTATCCAGTAGGGAAAGAATAACACTCACCTTTTGGTGTTTTCGGTAATTTTCATATATTTCTTACCACTTTGCTATTCATTGTAATTTAGATTGAATATTTTGGTATCTATTGTTGGTTGAATAACTGGGTAGTAATATTTGTTTAGGTAAATTTGTACATCTGTATATATGATGAAATTTAGAACCGTTATTACTCCAAAACACTTTGTTCTGATTTCGATTTGAACGAGTTTCTAAACTTTTACTGTAGTTATTCAACCACATCCAGACCTTTTGGAATTTAGGCTTGGATCTTATAATCAGTCTTTTAAAGTTGGAGTTTGTTCAGGGTCCCAATATACATGGCCAGCGATAGTTGTCTGCGACTTTATAATTGAGTCTAGATGATATATGCAGCAACTGCAGAAGGATATATCTATTATCACTACATCATCACTTTTGACGACTCTGAGTATGAAAACAATACTATTTTGCCATATGAAAATATACAGGCCAAGCGAATCATAGTAACTACCAGCACACGACTCTTATCAAAGACTTCATTTTCTCAACACCTAAATGTCCACTATGAATATCTTCAAGGGTAGATTTACATAATGAAGGAGGAATAACAACACAATCGTGTAAACACGAAATACCATCAGAAGTAGTGGATAACTCACCCCGATTTACAAAATGGACAATAATTCTACTTTTCATATCAGCATTACAACCTTTCGTATAGCGCTGAGTATACATCCAAAGCATGTACGAGTTTCTTTAATGAGATCTAGACGTCTCACGAGTAAAGGTTGCACTAACAAACAATCCGAAGTATTAACAGGTCTATCTTGTAGTAGTCAAGAAGTTGAATTTCTTTGGCACTCCTGTGCTGAACCGTATAGTCATGGTCGCTCAAAGCAATATTTCATAATTGAACCATAGCAGCTGAGGAAGGTGCTAAGGATTTCTCAGGATGATAAATGAAATTCGAAGCCTCATGATCAGTAACAATAACGAATTTCTTTCGAAATAAATATTTATGAAGTCTTTTAACTGCCCAAAACACGGCTAATGCTTCTCGCTGAGTCTGTGAATAACCTTGTACACTAACAGTACGTTTGCATGAAACATAGATTACTAGTCTATCTTCCTGCCCTGAAGCTGCACCAATACACACAGGCGGTTCATTAGTAATAATTACAGAATGTACACTGGTTGAGTAAGTTTGAGGAACAGCATCACTTTGAAAAAACGTTAGTAGACTCCCATTTGAGTGGATTGGATATCAAACAATTGGTATGACAATAAAAATTAGGAACAAAACGGAAATGGTATTGAAGAGCATCCGTTAATGAACTCATTTTTGTAAGATTCTTTGAAGACAGTGCATTTGTCAGTAGAGCTAGTCATTTCAAAAATGGTCCAAATCCATTGCCATCAACTGGGTATCCAAGACATTCAAAACTAGATAAACGAAGTGAACACTTATTTGGATTCACTGTAATATTCTTCTTATTAAACGACGCAATAAAGCAATAAGTCTCTGGTCATGAACTACCATGCCAGAACCATTGATAATGAGACCGTCTTGATAAACTTCAACGATTCCAAGATCACCGACTACCCCATTCATCACTTCCTGAAATATGGCTGGAGAACCACTAAGACCGAATGGAAGGAAGTTGTATTTGAACAGACTAAAAGGAGTGTTAATTGTTGTCAAAATAGATGAAGATTGCTCTAAAGGTGTTTGAAGAAAAGTATCTTTTAGGTCGACTTTCGAAA